CATTTGCCCTCTTTAACAAATCTTTGAAGTTGATCCATATAAATGTCTTCTTTCAACCTTTCCTTTAAGAAAGATATTTTTACATCCATTTGATGCATCTTTAAATTCATTATTGAGACAATTACTAGAATGGTTCTAATGATATTAAATTTAGCCATGGAAGCAAATGTTTCATTAAAATCTATAGATACAGCTTGCAAATAGTCTTTCACAACCAATCTAGCTTTATATCTCATAATATTATCTTTTTCATCCTTCTGATTTTAAATAATCATTTACAACTAATTGAAGATTAATTTGCTAGAAATTAATTCGTCTCCCATGTTCCATTATTTATAAGTGATTTGTATTCTTTTTCTATGGCATTCTCTTACTTTATAGCATCCAAGGACTTTATTGCATCACACAAATTCAATGAATCAATAAAGAATTTAATATTATTATATTCTTTACTTACATGAAGAAAGATATAATTCTTCTATTATTCACCAAGTTGTTTTCTATTTTTCAAAAGATATCTCATTTCATTCAATAAAAATTCACTTTCATACATTCTAAAGTCTCTTAGAAATTTTTCTTTTTATATGCTTGTATCTTCATATTTAATGGTTGATACTCTTCATCATCATCATCTTTAATATCTTAATTGTTGTTTTTGTTGATTCTAATAATTGTAGACAAACTTTGATCTACCTTCATTGATTCTCTGTCTTAATTTATATTTCCACCATCTTCATTGTCATTATCTTCTACTTCTTTCTTTATTAGAATTAAAGATGTGTCTACAAAAATACTATATTCTCTGTCATCTCCTAATGATGTGATTTACTTTTTTAACAATTCTATTTTATTACAGAGTATAAAGAATGGTGCTTTATCTTATAATGCCTTTAATCTTCAAAAACTCATCAAAATGCTTTGACATATATTCACTTGTATTTTTCGTATATAATACTTTGATCTTCTACTCACATTGCTTCTCTATAAGTATCTTAAACCTTAAAAAATACTCATTCTTGGCTTTAAAGATGTAAATCTATAAATTTCTTAAAAAATCATGAATAAATATAATAAAGTATATTTCCTTTCTAATTGATGGTGTCTTCATTGATCCACAAATATTAAAATTCATAATCTCCAATAATTTGCTAGCACATGTTGTAACTCTAATTAAAAATAAAGTCTTTTATTATTTATCTTAGATATAATCTTCACAAGCAAGTGGTTTGATATTGTGGCTAAATTGACTAAGATTCAAGCTACTTACCATAGATTGGAATTCTTTTATGCTTTTGGAATTTAAATGACTAAATCATTGATGCCAAATTCCAAATTTGTCTTGATCTTGTGTAAATTCAACAAATATTACTACTTCTATTCTATTTATTTTCTCAAAAATAATGAAGTAGATGTCGTCATCTCTAAGGCCTTTAGCAACATGTTGTCTACCTAATTTCTTCACAAAATATCTATTCATTTCAAATTAAATCTTTCAACCATGTAATACAAATTTTCTTATCAAAAGAAGGTTCTTCTTCATCTTTGGTATATAGAAGACTTCTTTCAATCTAATCCTCTTAGTTTGGTCTTTTACTACACTTTCCACCACAATAAAGCCAATTCTAAAGGTTTGTAAAATGCCATTGTTTCTCAATCAAACTTTTGTTGCCAAAATCGCTTCATAGGTATCAAATGAATACTAGTATAATGTCATATATTTATTAGCACCTAAATCTATAATCCTCTTAGCTATGGTAGCTATAAAAGCTCTTTTATTTGGCATGAAAGTAAAGTTATCTCTATTAAAATTATTACAAGTATTATTTGCATTCTCTCTATTTCTTTTCTTAGCTTTGTAGTAATTTCTTATAAATTGATTTAATTTTTTGATAAATATAATAATTTTTTATTTTTTTTAAAAATTATCATATTGATTAAAATAGCTTCTTTTTTCTTGTCTTAAAAATAGAGATGAATTATCACTTTGATTTTTTTTTTTTTTTTTTTTTTTTTTTTTTTTTTGTTACTTTAAGAGTAAGTCTTGATATTATATAATTCATGGTAAGTTCTTTCATGTTGATAGACTTCAATGCCACAAGCTCATGAATAATGCCAATATAATGTCTTTATTATCAATTGACTTGTTAATAATTGCTAGTTGATTTACAAGTATTTTTATCTTATTGATATGAGCCATGAGGTCATTTCTTTCTTCCATCTTTATTATTAAGAACTTCTTACTTGTCTATAGAATATTAAAAAGGTTTTTATTTTGATTGATGTTACAAAAAGCCTTTCCTGCTTCTGTTGATCCACTGCAAGTAATGATATGTTTAAAAATTGAGAACATTAAGATTTTTTGTAATCAATATAAAAGCCTTCTTTTCACAATATTTGTATTTATTTATTTATTTATTTATTTATACCTTTATATCAACATCATCACTTAGAAGTACTTTACTTTTAAGAATAAAATTTCAAAGGTTCAATGAAGCTAATAAAATTTTTATTTTTTTCTTTCAGTAGCAAAAGTTGTTACCTCTATATTTTTTAATAACTGCTAAGCCTTCATCTTTACTTAAATCTATGTCTAAAAAAATATCAAGGACATGAACTGAAAAAAGATGCATAAACCTAAGAAATCTATATCAAAAGAAAAGTGAAAAAAATAAAAATAAAAAATATGCATATTAAAAAAAAATTAGAATAGTTATTGCCAAAAGACAAAGAAATTAGAGACTCTTGAAACTAGACTAGAAACAAGAAAGGAATTGATAAGAGTGAAGAAGGCTTCATTCTTGTATCTATATACATTATCTACTTAGGATCTATGTAGTGATGTTCTATAGGACCTCCAAAAATGTGTTGACTTTAGATGATATGTATCTTAACTTGCAAGGTAAGTTTCTTATATAGACACCACATAGTTATCTTGTTTTGCAAGCTACTAATACATATAGCATATGTATAGCTTATTGACCAAATTTCTAACTCATTAATCAACTATAAACATATTTAAAGTCAAAATAGCATCTAAGAAGCTTTTAGAAAGCTTTTCTAGAAGATATTATGAAATTAAACTATTTTTATCTAATTCTACCTATTCATATTACCTAAATAATAATTATAGTAGATTTATATCCGTGACAAAAAGAGGTGTATTAAAAAGAATTAAGGAAAGACAAAATAGAGCTTTTGAAATTAAGATAAAGAAATTATTAGCTTTAAAACTTATATTATTTTTTCCTAAATAAACTAGTGATTTCACTCTTTAATCACTTTCAACTCTCACAAAAGTACTTTTAATCTTATAAATACAATATTAGTACACCAATGATATAATTCAGTAAAAAAAATATAATATTAGTATTTTAAAACATCATTCTAAAGTATCTCATAACTTTGAAGACCATGAATGCACTTAACAATAAGTAAGAGCAAAACTACATCAATAAGTAGATGCAAAAGAGAGTTTAGAAGATATCAAATCCTAATAACAATAATAACAATCATAAGATCTACTCTTTACAACAAGAAAGACTTCAAAAAACTTCAAAACTCATAACTAAAGGTAAGTAGGCTCATAACCTATTGAAGAAAAAAAAAAAACTAAAGTCACAATACATAGTATCAATAAGATTGTATATAAAGAAAGTATAAAAGAAAATAACATTTACTTCCATTACTTATTACTTATAGGTGGTGGCTGTTGTCATAATGGATAACTTCTATCCTTTGATAAATACATCCATCCAATATTTTACCAAGACTCTCTATTGTTATCTTATCTACTATAAAAATATGCCTTAAACATATCTTTTATACCCTTAAGATCCTATATTCCTTCATCTACCTTATTTCTTACCCTTCTTAAATACCAAGAGCTAATCCTTTAACTAATAGCAACTTACTTAAGATAATATCTTCTACAAGGTAACTTATTCTACTTTCACTTTTATTTACTTATTTTAATATCTTATTTGTATGTGTACTAATGTATTTTGGTACTAATTTATTTTTTAGTGATTTTGATGAAGGATAGATTGAATTCATGAGTGGAGGAGTTGATTTAACATTCTCTTTTTTTTATTTTGATATTTTTATCCACAAAAGAACTATATTTTAATTTAATTTATTTTAATCAAATAAAAACATAGTTTTTGGAAATAGAAGTCATCATGAAATAAACAGCTCATGTTTCTTGAATGTCACACTTTAAGAAGAGATTACACCCAATCAATAATAAGTAAACAAACAATGAAACAAACAAACAAGATGATGATGAAGAAGAAAGGAGGAGAAGAGACAACGAAGAGAGACGGACAAACAGCAAGTTATACCCAAGTTCGGTTGCACCTCTCTCTCACTCCCACTCCCACTCCATTTCCTTCACAGCTAACCCCCCCCCCCCCTTTCCCTTTCCTTCTTCCACAGCCCCTCTTCTTCCCATCGTCACCACCGCAATGGCAGCAGCAGCCTCGAATCGCATATCGCAATGCCATAGCCATTCATCCCTGCATCAATAAATCAATGCAGTGCAGAGGAGAGCCCCATCACATCCACTCCAAAACCCAACTGGGTCAGCGCGGAATGGATCCGCAGGGGAGCAGTGAGTGAGTGAGTGAGTGAATGATTGACCCGTCTAGTTGACTACTACTGCTGCCTGATGATGGTGTAAGTAAGTAGTCGCAGCACCCGAAGATGCCGTCTCTCCTTCTCAACAGTCCCATCTGACCCCACCTCTCCCCCACTCCATCCAGCAGCAGATTCCTCCTCGTCGCCCCCCTTTGACCGTCGTGAGAAGGGTCATGCAGTCTGATATTCCATGTGGGATTGCGACCAGGAAGTAAGAAAGAAAGACAAGGAGAGCGACCGAGAGAGAAGAGGGAAGAGGAGGATCGTCGTTGGGTCGGGTCGGGTTGGTCAGCAATCCACGCGAAAGACCGTCAGTGGACAAAGAGTCAAAGGCGTCGGCTAAGCCCAGCTGCTTTTGCCAAGCACGCCCTCTCCTTTCCCCCTCGCACTGCTCCTTTTAATTGACGCCGAGGTAGTTGCATTTCATATATGTACGTCTTTCGTGTCACAAGGTTGGACAGTGCTGCTGGGAGTGCCTGCTAGATCTATTTGTGGCTGCTGCTGCTGCTGCACACGGGTGCTGATCAGAGCAGAGTGCAGAAGAATCGTAGAGGAGGGGAGTAAATGCGGGACGCAGCAGCTCATGAGGAGGAGCTCGCCGCCCATCTACCTCTGCCCTCATCCACCTCGTCCCTCACGAACTCTCCTCTTCCCCTTGCTGCTCCTCTCCACGGAGGCCGTCGCGTTCGGCTAGATCGAGTTGGGAGTGTGCGTGGAGACGGAGTGTGCGCTGCACGATAGTTATTGGCCCCTGCGGCGTGAATTGATCTCACTCGGGTGTTGCCTGGTGTCGCAGGCACCGCCCGTTTGGACGGGTAAGTCACATAAACTGGGAGTGTAATTACGTGTGTGCGTTGTGTTATACGTTTAGGTTTTGATCGCCTGAATTGATTAGCCGCGCATTGGTTTCGTGACGAGCTTGCACCCGAGGGATTTTTTTGCTTTTGTGGGTGGGTTTGGGGGTAGGGGAAGAGTGAGCAGAAGTGTGATGTTTTGAGTTCCGCCCTAACCTCTTGAGGAAAGGAAATGAATCGCATCTGTTGGAAAGTTGCTCAATTGTGTCTGTTTCCGAGAATTCACTATGTCCCGTGTGCGGTTGTAGGTAGGTGATTAGCTTCTGGTTTGTTAGATGCTGGCTTTGACAAAAATTGGCAATGCATTTCCGTCGCATTGAGATTTGTTTGTATTGTCGCAGGTGAAGAGAAGAAGAAGAAAAAGAAGAAGAAAAAGAAGCCTCCCGCGACATCCCTTGGAGTTGTGAGTTCTTACTTAATTTAAGGTCTAGTTTCCTCGTGAGGGAGGTTGTTTGCGCTCAAAGGGTGAGATCGTCATGGTGGCCCAAGTGGTGCCCGAGGTGGTTTGCGCAAATGGGGCGATAAATTCCACGGTGAAGAAGAACGGGACGAGCGTATCGCCGGTAGAGGAGTACTGCTATGCGCTTGGAGGCAAAGATCCCATACGCAGCATCTTGATTGCGAACAATGGCATGGCCGCTGTCAAGTTCATGCGGAGCGTGCGCTCTTGGGCGTACGAGAGTTTCGGAGTCGAAAGGGCCGTGGAGCTTGTGGCCATGGCGACTCCCGAAGACATGCGCATCAATGCTGAGCACATTCGCATGGCTGACCAATTCGTGGAAGTCCCAGGGGGAACCAACAACAATAACTACGCCAACGTTCAGTTGATTGTCGAGGTTTTTGCCTTCACCTAGATCAGAACCCTACTGCAAATTGCTCCCAAGGATTTTACGATTCTTGAGTATCTTTCACTAGGTGAAGACTATACGGAAGCTGGTCATGTGGGCAGATTTGAGTCTGAAGTCCTACACATGTGATGATGTGAACACATGTTAATGTTAACCTGTGTGGGTTGTCTTGCAGATTGCGGAGAGAACAGGGGTGCAAGCCGTGTGGCCAGGATGGGGTCACGCATCCGAGAACCCCGAGCTCCCAGACTCGCTGTTGGCGCGGGGCATTCTCTTCCTGGGCCCTCCAGCAGCCCCCATGAACGCTCTTGGCGACAAAATTGGATCCTCTCTTATTGCACAGGCGGCTGGTGTGCCCACACTCCCGTGGAGTGGTTCTCACGTAAGCTTCCTCAGAAGAATAAACACCTTGTCTAAAGCATTCTGACATTAAGGTTTTGAGATAAAAAAAATGTTACTTTGTATCAATGTATCACTCTCTTTGATGAGTATTAAGACACTGTTTTTTGCGTTCTGGACACAGGTGAATGTGCCATTTGATGTTCTCCAAGGCAGCATTCCGGATGATTTGTACAAACAGGCTTGCGTTTCCACCACAGAGGAAGCTTTGGCTTCATGCCAGGTAGTCGGCTACCCTGCCATGATCAAGGCCTCTTGGGGAGGTGGTGGTAAAGGAATTCGGAAAGTACATAACGATGAAGAAGTGAAGGCTTTGTTCAAGCAGGTGCAGGGAGAAGTGCCAGGTTCACCAATCTTCATAATGAAGGTCGCCACACAGGTATTGTATGGACGTGGTCTTTTGCTTGATCATCGTTAGGAGATTAGTTAGATTGTTTGGGACTCCCCAAACGATCACAACTTACAATCTGCCCTTTCATGGTGGAATTGCAGAGCCGACATCTCGAGGTTCAACTGCTTTGTGACCAATTTGGGAATGTGGCAGCCCTGCATAGCCGTGACTGTAGTGTGCAAAGACGGCACCAAAAGGTGGCTTTTATTCCACAATCCTAGATATATTTTTGGTCATTAATCTGAACTTTGGCTTTGTAATCTCTTCATTGATTCTTTTAGCTGATGCCGGACGTTCAATGTACTTTTCCATAGATTATCGAGGAAGGTCCTATCACGATTGCTCCTCCGGAAACAGTGAGACGCTTAGAGCAAGGCGCCTGTCGGCTTGCCAAGTGTGTGAACTATATTGGAGCCGCAACTGTTGAGTACTTGTACAGTATGGAAACTGGGGAGTTCTACTTCTTGGAGCTCAATCCTCGTCTCCAGGTATGCATCTGGTTTTCAGTTTCAGGTTAACAACCTTCATTTACCTCCAAAGTATTTGCATTGTGGAGCATTGTAATTTGTGGTTCGCTCTGAACTCTTACACAAATTTTTTGCTTGTGCAGGTAGAGCATCCTGTCACAGAATGGATTGCAGAGTTTAATTTGCCAGCAGCTCAATTGGGTGTCGCCATGGGCATCCCACTTTGGCGTATGCCTGGTACGCCTGTCTTTCTAATCCACGATCTCTTTACAACTCTCTCGGGTCTACCATACCTGTAGTGGGTAGTGTTGTGTATAATTTTATCTGAAATGCGACTTTGTTCCATTGATTTAGAATATCTCGCACTTAAGATTAAAAGTCTTGCTTTTCATTACTAAAGCAAGTAGGTCTTCCTACGGTAATGATTTGCATGAAATGTTTACATGATTTCCGTTTAGAATTGTGAACATATATTGGTCTCCTGGTTATAATGGGCAGAAATTCGGCGTCTCTTTGGCCAAGGAGGCGGTGGCCACGATTCTTGGAGGAAGGTGGCTGATGAAGCAGTACAATTTGATTTGGAAAAAGTTGAGTCTCAAAAACCCAAGGGTCATGTCGTAGCTGTGCGGGTCACGAGTGAAGACCCTGATGACGGGTTCAAGCCCACTAGTGGTCAAGTTCAGGTAACTTGTCCATCGCTTTTTCAAAGTTGAATCGTGTTGTTGAGGTCCGGCTTCCCCCTAATTGTCATTTGAATGCGAAACCAGGCGTAATTGCCAAAGGGTTTTTGTTTCTTTATTTTTTCTTCTCCTCTATGCGCTATTATGCAGGATTAGTGAAGGTGATCTGCTAAGGTTATTATTTTCATTGCCAAACTCGCCTGGAGCTTGAAATTGGTAAGCGTTGCAATGTTTTGCAGGAACTCAGTTTTAGGAGTAAACCAAACGTGTGGGCTTACTTTTCAGTCAAGGTACTAATTGGCTCCTTCTTTCTGTAGCCCACCGCCTGTTTCGGTTTTTGAGCTGCAATATCTTTTGTGCAACGTCTCTAGTGCAGATAATTTGTTTTCTAGAGTTTTACTCCTGAAAATTGAAGTTCTGAACTGAAGCCTGAGATTGCATTCCAGAAATTGAACATTAAGAGAGGAATAAATAGTGATTTTTACTGGTCAAGCTTTGCTTGGAAGTCGAGTTGATGAACGGTTGCTGTGATCTGTGTTGTATTTCAGTCTGGAGGAGGCATTCACGAATTTTCAGATTCCCAATTCGGTATGTCTTAAAAAACCAAATACTCCAAAAACAAATTGCAGCTGCTAAGGCTAAGGGAATTGGATCTTACAGATTGGGAGATCTTACCAAGTGATACTTGAAAATTTGAAATGATTCTTCTGGTATACAGGTCATGTTTTTGCTTTTGGAGAAACGCGGGCTATGGCCATTGCCAACATGGTGCTGGGACTCAAGGAACTTCACATTCGAGGAGAGATCCATACTAATGTTGATTACACTGTTGACATTCTGCACGTAAGTGCTGGCATCGTATTCATTTCAGTTCCATTGACAAACGAGTACTAAATCAAAGCCAAGCAACTGTGTGCGTGACATGGCACATGGTTCTCATAGTTTACTTAATAAGAAGCACGAAAGGATTGATTTCCGAATGTTAACAATTGGTAGCATGGCATTATCTTTACCAATGTGCAGGCACCTGAATATAGAGATAATAAGATCCACACGGGCTGGCTGGATAGTCGGATTGCTATGCGAGTGCGAGCTGAGCGACCTCCTTGGGAGATCTCGGTTGTGGGCGGTGCTTTATATGTGAGCTATTTTCAATATATTCTTAACTTCTTATCTGCTGTCGAAAACTTATTGCTAAGCATGTGACTACTTCAAATGTGCAATTTTTTTATTTTTATTTTTATTTTATTTTTAAATTTATTTTTTTAATTTAATTTTTACAGCAGAGGGATATCAGTTTAAGCAATGCATATTGGGTGGTTCTTACCAGAAAGCAAGCAGGTTAATTGCAGCTCGTGTAACGGAGTACATTGGCTATTTGGAAAAGGGCCAAATCCCACCCAAGGTATATACATGAGTACGCACTTTCATCCTCGGAAGCAGATGCACTTGATTTGTAGGTTCATTGCAAGAGCTTTTTAATCTGAGCCTTTGATTGAAACTGGCTTTGCCTTGCAGAACATCTCGCTTGTCAATTTTCATATCTCTCTCAATATTGACGGGATCAAGTACAATGTAAGATGATTTTCAATGACGTATTTCATCCGCTTTTTAAGGAATGATTTCTTTCTATTCATTCTTATTCTATGATCGGAACTGTATTTTTTGAAAGGGACTTCTACTTCTGGCTTCAAAGATGACTTGTGATATTAATGGTACAGATGGAGTTAACTAAAGGAGGGCCTGGGAGCTATCTGCTCCGCTTGAATAAATCTGAAGTGCATGCTGAAGCTCACACTCTTCGAGATGGAGGCCTTCTTGTCCAGGTTTGAATCAAACTCTAGCAACTAGGTGGATCTGCCGGTCCTACATTTGGTTTTGGAGCTATTTCTTAAAGTTTGCATCCATTTTGTTTTGGTTCAATTTCAGCATTGGTTTTTAAGTTCTAAGTGGTGTGCAGAGTTCTCATGCAATATTTCCAATTACCTGGTTGTGCAGCTGGATGGGAACAGTCACGTGGTCTACGCAGAAGAAGAGGCAGCGGGCACTCGCTTGCTTATTGATGGACGCACGTGCCTTTTGCAGGTCCGCAATGTGATCCCTAACATTTGATTTGTTTCTGCAATGTTTGCGAACGCCAAATTTCATGGTAGTGAATGTTTTGCTTGGTTCACCCTACTAATTGGACGCAAGGCCTGTGATGCAGAATGATCATGATCCATCGCGATTGATTGCTGAAACACCTTGCAAGTTGATGCGTTTCTTGGTGCCAGATGGCAGCCATGTAAACGCTGATGCTCCATACGCGGAGGTGGAGGTTATGAAGATGTGCATGCCTCTTTTGAGCCCAGCATCTGGAACCATTCATTTCAGATTGTCTGAGGGCTCGGCCATGATGGTATGTTGTCTTTTTAGATTTTCTTTGTGACACTATTGTCTCATTTTCATAAACAAAGTAAAATTTCGAAGTGAAATATGGGTGTGATGTGTTGAGTTAAGATGTGCCTTCCCCTTGTATTCCAGGGTGGAGATCTCATAGCTTCACTAGACCTTGATGACCCGTCAGCCGTGAGGAAGGCCCTGCCTTTTGAGGGCAACTTTCCGCCCTTGGGATTTCCAACAGCCGTTGGCGCTAAAGTTCATCAACGCTGCGCTGACAGCCTCAATGCTGCGCGGAATATCCTAGCTGGTTACGAGCATGATCTTGATGAGGTATACACCTGAATTTGTGTTTCGGTTGTGAAACAGATTGTGGATTTTACTGATAAATTATCATATCCCTCAAAAGATGCTCCTAAACAATAACACGAATGAATAACGAGGTTCGAGTGCTTGCTTGCAGGTGGTGAAGAACTTGCTTAGCTGTTTGGATGATCCTCAGCTACCCATGCTGCAATGGCAGGAGTGCATGGCTGTTCTTGCAACCCGAATTCCAAAGGATTTAAAAGCGCAGGTGGGACATTTCACATCCAGTAGTGCTGATATGTTGCATGTTTTCACATTTTGTTCTTTTTGTTTGGAAATCTTTTGTATGAATAGTCGTGGCTAACATTATGTACACTGTGAGCAGCTTGATGCTGAATTTCGTGAGTATGAGATCAGTTTCCAGCAGGGTGGAGTTGGTCCAGACTTTCCAGCTAAGGCACTTACTGGATTAATCGAGGTGTGCAATGCCATCTACCATGGTCTCATGTTAGCTTTGTGCTTGAAACTCAAGATCTTGTTGACCGATTTTCTGAAGCGGGATTCTGAACTCATCTGGATGTTTGCAGGCTTTCGTGGACAATACTCCTGACAAGGACCGAGTGACTCTAGAGCGCCTCGTGGAACCTCTGCTGCTTCTAGCCAGATCTTATGAGGGTGGCAGAGAAGGACATGCTTGCAGCATTGTTCAAACTCTGTTTAACGTGTACCTTTCCGTGGAGGAGGTTTTTAACGAGAATGCACAGGTATGATTCCAATTCTGCTTCACGCCTCTATTTTAAAACATTGTGTAATTTTGCTAAGTTGAAAACACCAATTTGGCAATACAAAATTTTAGACTTTATGTTGCGTTGAGAACGGATTAGCCAGTGCGGTAATTGTGCTTCTACTGTTGGATCGATCTTATTGGGTCTAACAACTGTGTCGAATTTCCGGTTATTACAGGCTGATGTTATAGAAGGGTTGCGGCAGCAACATAAGAAAGACCTTGCGAGAGTGGTTGATATTGTCCTGTCTCACCAGGTAAGTGACACCTAAAATGTTGATGTGATACATCTGTAAAGCTTTAAACATAGTTGTTGTCATCTCTGTTCGAGTCTCGTTACGTTCTGGTTCTACGTATTCAATTTTGAACCTCATGAACGATTCTTATTGTCATCTCGTGACTTCAGGGTGTGAAGAGGAAAAACCAGCTCATCTTAAAACTGATGGGAGCCTTAGTATACCCAAATCCTGCTGCCTACCGTGACCAACTTATCCGCTTTGCAGATCTTAATCACAGCAACTACTCCGAGGTACATTTAATCTAGTTCTTTTTTCCGTGCTTATGATTTTGAGACAATGTCATATGCCATGTTCCTCGTGGAGTACTTTCTCATCGCATCCCTTAAGAATATCGCTGATTAAGTAGTCATATGTACTCATAAATTCCAACTTGATGGGTGTAGCTGGCCTTGCGGGCTAGTCAGCTGCTTGAGCAGACAAAACTGAGTGAGCTGCGGTCCAACATAGCACGAAACCTGTCTGAGTTTTCGATGTTTACGGAGGATGGAGGTGAGGGTCACAGCACTCCTCGGCGCCGCAGTGCCATTGAGGAGCGTATTGACACCTTGGTGGATGCACCTTTGCCTGTTGAGGATGCCCTGGTGTCCTTGTTTGATCACGGTGACCATACCTTACAGCGTCGTGTTATTGAAAGCTACATTCGCAGACTTTATCAGGTGGATGCACTTTCCTCTGAACTATTCTATTATCACAGAAGCTTGCAAAGCTGACAGCGTTACTGAGAAATTCTTAGGAAGCGTTAGTGTTTTGAGCACATACTGTTTGGGTCAGACTTGGCTTTAGTCCTGTTGCTAAACAACTGTGAATATTCATTTCGACGCACAGAAACGTTGGTTCTACCCGTCGCAGCAAAGTAATTGTCATAAGTAAAGAATCCAGTCAGTGTTAACTATTCATGTGGTTGTATGTTGATCCGTGCAGCCATATCTGGTGAAGGGCTCAGTGAGAATGCAGTGGCACCGCTCCGGGTTGATTGCAACCTGGCAATTTTGGGAAGAGTATCCTCCTCCGACCGCCGAGATGCTGGAATCCATAAAGGTTTCCATCGACGATAGCCAAGGCGTCAAAAGGTGGGGAGCTATGGTGATACTTACTTCTCTCCAGGTGCTCTCCAACGCAGTCGGGGCTGCTCTCAAGGATGCCGAAAGCACACTTACACCAACCTCAAAAGCAGCTGCAATGTCCAAGCGCACTAATATTGGAAGCCCTCGCAGAAATAGGTCATTTGTTGGTGCTCCAAGTGGTTTTGGCAATGTTCTACATGTGGCATTGGTAGGCATCAACAATCCAATGAGCGCATTCCAAGACAGGTAGGTTTTCGGTTACTTTTCTTGAGATCATGTTGAGTTTTAGGTTGACTTGAATGTGTGGTAATGCATCATGTCCCTTGGTTTCTAATCTCTTGGTGAGCCATGCAGTGGGGACGAGGACCAAATCAACGAAAGAGTAGAGAAACTGGCGAAGGCTCTAAAGGGTGAGAGTTTGGGTGCTATGCTCCAAGTATCTGGTGTGGGAGTGGTGAGCTGTGTTATTCAACGTGATGAAGGGCGTGCACCCACTCGGCATTGCTTCCAATGGTCTCATGAACACCATTACTTTGCTGAGGAGCCTCTTCTTCGCCATGTCGAACCACCTCTTTCTAATCTCCTTGAGCTCGTAATGACCATCCCTGTTCCTACTCAGTTTTTTCAGACACTGAGGTCTTTTCATACAATTAAAATTGTGCCCAGGTCATTCGTTCGTCAAGATGGAACTAGTTTACAAATACAATATGTAAACAGAATTTATAGAATACACAGTGCTCATTATCAGCAACGATTCCTTGCAGGAAAAGCTGAAGGGTTTCACCAACATGCAGTTCGCGCCATCACGCAACCGGCAGTGGTACATTTACAATGCCGTGGATGGAAAGACCAGGACTCGCAGAATGTTCTTGAGGGCTCTAATTCGGCAACCAAAACCTAGGGACGAGAGTGGATATGAAAATCTTGATTCACGTAGTATCACTCTAGTGGAGGATAGCATCACCCAGTCTCTTCAAGGAGCCCTGGACGAGTTGGAGCTTGCTGTCCACGATACCAATAGCAAGGCTGACCATATTCATGTGTATCTCTGCATTCTCCGTGCTCAGGAGCTTGGCGACTTGACGCAGGCATCAAGGTATCACTTCAGCTGATAAATTCTCCTATTTAACATGCGTATCTCCTTGGGGCAGTCCTGTGGTGATCAAATGAAATTTATAATGGTTTCTATGTGATCTCAGGAAAGAGAGTGGCAGCACTACAAACCAAGTGGAGAGAGTGGTCCGTGTGTTGGAAGGTTTGGCACATGAAGTATATTTCAAACTCGGTGCACGCATGCATCGCCTTGCTATTGCTGGTTGGGAAATCCGTGTTCGTCTGAAGGAGCTTCAGGCAGCCAACGGCGCATGGCGTGTTGTAGTTTCTAACCCAACAGGCCACACTTGCACCGTCCAGGTTCGATCGCAGTCTTTCATTACTGTCGTCTCTTTGAGTTTGTTGACTTCTGGTCGAGTTGTTTGGCTGATCGCATCAATAAGACTTTTCACTCCGGCTTTGGTCGTAGTTTTTGAGCACTTTAATTTGGTCACGTGCAGGTATACCGAGAGGCTCAAGACAAGGATTCAGGCAAGGTGATTTACTGGTCACCTTTCACTCCTGTGCCTGCGCCGCTGCACGGCGTGCCCCTATCTGCTCATTACAAATCGTTAGACGCCATTGCTCAGAAGCGTCTTGCAGCGAGGCGTCAGAATACCACGTACTGCTACGACTTCCCCTTGGTTTTTGAGACAGTGCTGCGCCAATCCTGGGTAGATGCTGCCGAGGCTGGCGTAAAGCCGCAAGGATGTACCCCAATTTTTAAAGCAACCGAGCTCGTGCTGGCGAATTCTAGCGGAGGCTGGGACACGGGTCTTGTAGAAACTGCTCGTCCTGTGTCGAGTAACAATGTGGGTATGGTGGGATGGCGGATGCATATGTCCACGCCAGAGTTTCCAGAGGGGCGGGATGTATTGGTAGTCTCAAATGACGTGACGTTCAGTGCTGGCTCGTTCGGACCTGCGGAGGATGTTTATTTCAAGTCTATGACTGAGTTGGCGTGTCGGGAGAAGCTCCCGCTGATCTATCTCGCAGCGAATTCAGGCGCTCGCATTGGAGTGGCTGAAGAAGTTCGCGCCTGCTTTCGTATTGGCTGGTTGGAGGACTCGTCTCCTGATCGCGGCTTCAAGTACCTGTACTTGACGCCGGAGGATTACGAGCTACTTTCAACCTCTGTTATCGCGCATGAGCTGAGACTTGACTCAGGAGAGGTGAGATGGGTCATCGAAGATGTAATTGGAAAGCAGGACGGGATTGGAGTGGAGAATCTCTCAGGCAGTGGCGCAATTGCAGGCGCATACTCCAAAGCATATCGTGAAACTTTCACATTGACTTACGTCTCAGGCCGTACCGTCGGAATTGGTGCGTACCTTGCTCGTCTCGGTATGCGGTGCATCCAGCGTCTCGACCAGCCCATCATCCTGACGGGCTTCTCAGCGCTCAATAAACTGCTGGGGCGCGAAGTCTATAGCTCTCACATGCAGCTGGGCGGGCCGAAAGTGATGGCGGTGAATGGTGTTGTCCACCTCACGGTTGCAGACGATCTTGAAGGCGTTTCTGCAATCTTGAAGTGGCTGAGCTACGTGCCCTCTTACGTCGGCGGCCCTCTTCCCTGCCTGCAATCCGTGGATCCACCCGAAAGGGCAGTGGAGTATTGTCCCGAGACGTCGTGCGACCCGCGTGCTGCAATTCGTGGCCTCGATAGCAATGGCAAATGGTTGGGCGGTATTTTCGACAAGGGAAGCTTTACCGAGACTCTCGAAGGCTGGGCGCAGACTGTGGTCACTGGACGAGCCAAGCTGGGCGGCATTCCGGTTGGAATCGTGGCTGTAGAGACACAGACAGTCACACAAAAGATTCCAGCCGATCCCGGCCAGCTTGACTCCTCCGAGCGACTGGTGCCCCAAGCTGGTCAAGTTTGGTTCCCTGACTCTGCTCAGAAAACGGCGCAAGCGTTGATTGATTTCAACAAGGAGGGTCTCCCGCTCTTCATCCTCGCGAATTGGAGAGGGTTCTCAGGTGGGCAGCGCGACCTCTTCGAAGGCATCCTGCAAGCCGGGTCCATGATCGTAGAGCACCTGCGCGTGTACCAGCAGCCCGTGTTCGTGTTTATTCCCAAAACGGGAGAGCTTCGTGGTGGTGCGTGGGTGGTGGTGGACAGCAAGATCAACCCTGACAAGGTGGAGATGTACGCTGAAAAGACAGCTCGCGGAGGAGTCTTGGAGCCCGAAGGTATGGTCGAGATCAAATTCCGCATGCGTGAGCTTATAGAGTGCATGCACCGCATCGACCCCCAGCTCATAACCTTGCGGCAGCAACTACAGCAGCTTAAAGGCGCCCCTATCGCTACATCTGATAGGATCCAGCAGCAAATCAAATCTCGAGAGAAAGCCCTCACGCCTGTGTACAAACAAATTGCTATCAAATTCGCGGAGCTTCACGACACTCCCAACCGGATGGCCGCCAAGGGGGTCATCAAGAAGGTAGTAGATTGGGGCGAATCCCGGCATTTCTTCTTCCAGAGGTTAAAGAGGAGGCTTGCTGAGGAATCCTTGATTCAGCAGCTTCTAGTAGCGGGTGGTCCGAACATGTGTCATTCCGCAGCCTTGGCATTGATCAAAGATGTCTTCACCACGTCAACAGGCGGACCTTGGGAGTGGACAGATGACGCACAGTTTCTGGCGTGGAGCAGCCAACCAACTGGGCTTGAAGTGCATTTGAATGAGCTTCGTGAGAAGCACGTGGTGAAGGAGATGGTGGCCTTGGGATCCTCAGCTGAAGCATTGAAGGCCCTCCCTCAAGGGTTGAACGCACTACTGCGCTCGGTAAGCTTGCAATGAATCTCCCGCTTCCTTACTTAGGCTTCGTGTTGCAGAGCTTGGAAGTGTGACAGAGTGCGTGACCAAACGATTCAGAGCATCTCCACTAATCCTGTGATGATGCTTCCCTCTCTGTGCAGGTAGATGATTCCACCAGGTTCCAGTTGGTTGAGGAGCTAAAGCGAACGCTGGATGCATCCTTTGATTGATGGGCTCCGAACGAGTTCCATGCTTTGTTCATATATAGATCAGATGCGAGACGATGTTGCTTTACATCTTGCCTGATTGATCTTATTCAGCTAAAAACCATAATATTATTATAATAATTATTATTATTCTTATTTTGCAGTTTTAGATGCTCACCCAGGATAGAAAAAGTTACATAGTTGACGAAGAGAGATACTTTTCCTTTTGGAGGAAATCAGAACTTCGGTCTTTGAGGGTGAGGCCAACTAATTGTACCATTACTAATTCATTCTTTCACGTTTTGATGCCTAAGTAGTTGAAATCCAACGATAGTATAACTCTCTTCTGTTTCCTGGAGTGATTTTCAATGAGCCTTTGAATGAACCTTATGATTTCTCCTTAGCTTCCTTAACTTTTTGTGTTTTTCCATGTTCCGGAGGCCAAGTCACAACCGCCATGTTTGTGTCGGTAACCTTGGTGTAAAAAACCTGGTCAATTTCATTTATGTGGTCAACCCTTTGTTGGAATTTTCAACGTTGTAATCGGCAGAAGTCAACTGTTGTTGCGTGTGGTGCATATATTTCATACATATTTTATGAATTATTGCATAATCCCCACGAACTTGAATATTTTTCAGGTTTATTAAAATGAAAATGGACTTCGTCTAATTTCATTAGATTTTATTTTTTTTCTTTCTTTTGCATTCATGCAAAACAAAAATTGTTGTACATTGGATTTTAGATAATCATCCATAATAATTGGTGAAATAGTAGGTGAAAAATTGATTATCATTATATATTTACAGGGTAGTTTTAATATCACCACTATTTTTGCTATTATCACCACGACTTGCCACCTACTTGACATTTATTTTATTTCATTATAAGTTTTTGATTATTCAACCTATATAATTTGAAAAGAAATGTTGAAAGTAATAACAATTTTTTTATTAAAATTAAAAAAAAGACAAATAGAGAAATTTGTTTAGTGCATGGTGGGTTGTGCTGGTTGTAGTAAAAATGTGGTGGTATTAGCAATAAAATATTAATATGCTATTATATTTGATTAAAATACATCATACTTACTATTAATGTTGTCTTTAAGTGAAATTAAAATATAATTTTTTTAGTATTTTCAAATAAAATTTAACAATAAATAAATTTATCTTGGTTATAAAGATAGATTTTTTTAGAATTAAAATTTCTAGAAAATTTTATTTCGATTGAATTTTGTTTGAAACAAGTCTAAACTTATTGTTGTTATTAAGATTGCAAGTAATACTAATTTAATACACTCAGTTCTTCTTTGTATTGTTTTATATGTAAGGTACTAAAAATCTACTATTGTATTGAAAAATAAAATAAATGAAGTAATTTGCACATTGTTCATGTCAACTATGAACTTTAATCACTACAACCATAAGAACTTGGTACCTATTCATATTTTTTATTCTAAAATCTCTAACAACATTGTTGTAGATGACATGATTGTTTGCAGCTCTATGTTATATGCAACAAACAAATCTTCTAATGAAGATATTCTATTATAATCAAATAAATGATAAAAAATATTAAATTAATATAGTTTTCAAATAAAATCATAATTCATCATGTACAATTCTTGCAAAAATTAGTTTCTAGATATTTTCTTCACAAACATAATTTACATGTATTAAATCTAGATATAAATTTAAAATATTGCTAATGCCACTATATTTTTTGCTAATACCACCACAACCTACCACTCACTTAACACACACATACACACACACACACACACACACACACATATATATATATATATATATATATATTATTTTTTAAATATTTAAATATTTTCTTTTTTATAAAAAATTTAATTTAAAATAAATTAGATTTAATATAAAAAATTAAAAAACTTAATAAAAATAAATTATGGTGGTAATAACAAAAATTGTAATAGCATTTACAACACTTAAAATTTAAATTTAAATAGACTGACAAGTCAAGTTTTAGTAGAAATAAAAAAACAAACATATCTTAGAGTAATAATCATATGATTATTTAATTGCTTTGATATTCTTAGTATTTGATTTTTTTATTGGTTTTATTTTTTAACACAATCTATTATATAAAATACATCAAGGGGGTATAAAAAAACAAAATAAATAAAGAAGACAAATGGATCTTCTAACTGGCTATCCTAATACGTATGTTCCATATAAGCCTTGTCCATAATGCATTTGAATAGTTGTTGTTAGTAAAGGGGTCTTTTAGTAAAGTACACAACAATGAGACTTTTTTTCACTATCTCTCTTCGTGATTATATTGTTTACAATGTATTTACTAATTAGAGTGTCTTTCTTGCTACAACTCTAGTCTTACTTGCACTTATAGTTTGAATTCTGTGTGGCTTTGTGACTTGCACTTTAGTAAGTTTTAGACAAGCGTTGATTTTCAGCCTATAACCATCTCTATATAAATCACATGATTGAATGACCTACTACAATTTCTGCTTTTTTATGGTTAAACTTTAGGCAGAATTCCTTGACAAAATTAACAAATTTTTTGCATATTTTCCAAAACAACAATACATAAATATAATATAAATATAATATTTTTAATATTGTCAAATATAAATATATTATTAAACAAATGTTATATATTTTTATACAATTCCTACATGAAACAACTTGATTATTTTAGAATCTCTATTTTCTACTTGAATTCTTGTCTCAGATCCTCACTGTTTCTCTTGGATAGCAATAGTGCTACTTTAGGATACATGGAATGTTTGTACAAACTTGGAATTTGGCTTGTTAAGCTACTTTAGAATACATAGAATGTTTATACAAACTTGGAATTTGGCTTGTTAAGCTACTTTAGAATACATGGAATGTTTATACAAACTTGGAATTTGGCTTGTTAAGCTACTTTAGAATACATGGAATGTTTGTACAAACTTGGAATTTGGCTTGTTAAGCTACTTTAGAATATATGGAATGTTTATACAAACTTGGAATTTGGCTTGTTAAGCTACTTTAGAATACATGGAATGTTTGTACAAACTTGGAATTTGGCTTGTTAAGCTACTTTAGAATATATGGAATGTTTATACAAACTTGGAATTTGGCTTGTTAAGCTACTTTAGAATGCATGGAATGTTTATACAAACTTGGAATTTGGCTTGTTAAGCTGCTTTAGAATACATGGAATGTTTATACAAACTTGGAATTTGGCTTGTTAAGCTGCTTTAGAATACATGGAATGTTTATACAAACTTGGAATTTGGCTTGTTAAGCTACTTTAGAATACATGGAATGTTTATACAAACTTGGAATTTAGCTTGTTAAGCTACTTTAGAATACATGGAATGTTCGTACAAACTTGGAATTTTGCTTGTTAAGCTACTCAAGTAGGCTGTTGAAATGAATGATTCACTTTGTAGAGGGTAGCTGCCAAAACCCTAAACAATAAACCATTGTGCTATTGTTTTAATGAATACTTCCAAAATTGTACTTCTAATTGTTCTATTCTACACTAAGGCATTCATGCTCAATTCCTATTGCAGACGTTTCATCTATGTCGGACCACTTCTCGTTGACCATGTCTTTTAACATGTGATTGTTGTAAGATGCCTAGTTCGGTTTCCGGGAGAGGTAGTATCCAGTCAAAGAGACTCACTCTGAAGATATTGTTTGAAGCATACTCAGAGACCAAACTCCACAACTCCCCAACAACCCATTCTTCTTGCAGAATCCAATCCGCCACCTCCTGACATTTAACCAACAGAAAAAGAAAAAAAGAAAAATGAAAAAACCTAAATCAGTAAACCTCCGTTGAAACTGACAATTCACAGCCACATAGTTCTTCAGGAATTGATTCCCAAGTGAGTAAAATTAACATTTCTGAACCAGCTTGATCTGAATGGATTTAAAAGATAAGGTGACTGATACTCTACCTACAATATGATGCTATCCACTGAACTAAAAGCAGACAAACTCTTTAAGAGAGGAGCTCGTAACACAAGTACAGTATCAATTCTTGAGGTATTTGAATCAAATAGAATAGCTCCTAAAGAACTCTTGAACATTGTTGGGTTGGAGTCGCTGAGCAATACATACGTCGCAGAGAATAACACTGGAAACTTCAAGTACCTAATATTAGAAGAAAAAAAGACAAGATAAAAATCAAGTACCTGTAAACGTTGGGCATCGGGGTTCTGGAAGGAGAAATACAACAAATACGGACGCCGTGCTTGTGAGGCTGCTAACCATTGTAACATGCACTTAAGTGGCAGATTGCCTCCAAAGACACCACAGCCCCAGTTTCCAGTCGCTATGCCAAGTTCGTCTCTAATTTCAGCACCCATTTTATCACCATCTTTGTCTTGAAATTGTCCGCTCGTGCCAGTAGTATCATTGGGTTTTATAACTACGGACTTACTACATTCATCACGTGTATCCACAATGAGAGGTGACTCAATGGAGAAATCGCTAGTCTGTGAATCACCACTCTGTACTAAATCCTCCGACTCATTCACCACACGACCCTTCGATTTTGCGGACTGCCTGAATGGTTTCCAATTTACAGCATTATCTCTCAACCTGGCAGAATTCAGGAACCCACAATATGCCTTGGTTAACTCTCGCACTCTATAAGGAAGACGAAATTGATCGTCACCTGGTTGAGAGAGAGCATCAATTGCAATAACGTGCGTTCGTCTCCGTCCCCAAGCATCTCTGGGCATCACATCACGGAAGTCGCCATTGAAGCGAAAACTTGAAGCATAGCCTGTATAAGAGCAGTACCTCTCTGCACCAACTATTTCTATGGATTCATTCGAAGCCATCACTGGCAGGAAGACCATTCCCGCAGCAAGCTCAGGGTTGATCATAAACCGAATCTCCTCCTATAAGCATCAAGACAACCAAAGAGAGTATTAGATGCTCGACTGCAATTGATGAAATCGTTGCAGGCTCTGGAAAGAATCGAAATCTAAATACATACTTGAGAAGCTTACGCACAAATTCTAAAATACAACCGAAAAAGTTGATGAAAAATGATTCATTTCCACTTTCCTTACACTTCACACATAAGGGTTTAAAAAGAATCTAACCTGAACGCAGCCGTCTCCAAGCGCCCCACCTCCAAGCAGTCTATTCGCAAAATCAACTTGCAAGCAGTCTTGACCGAGATCCTCAATTGAGCCGTCAACAACAACCGTGAGAGGACATATGGAAGTTGTGCTACTGCTCCAAAATGTATTACTATATTTCAAATTCTGTAAGGAAATAACTTTCCGTTCAAACGAAACCACACCTTCAGGCATGTTCTGACAGACTCGTTCAAAATAATGAAGGAGACAGAGAAGCTTATGCTCAATGCTCTCCCCTCTCTCATAAATTCCTGCAAATAGCCGGTCGATATTCATGTGTGGCAAATTCTCTTGCCTACGCTCTGAGGACGGGTAGAGACACAAGAAAGAACAAGCCAATAGCGAGGCCACGAGACGCTGGCTCAACACTACTATCCCTCGCTGTTGATCGCGCAGGAGCTTCAAACCCATATCCGGCCGCAACTCTGTGCAAGAGCCCACATCTTTTCCTCTACTGTGCAACGTAAAAAGCATAGCCAGATCATTAGACTGGTTTTGCAGCAGAGCCGGTAAGGAGAGTGCAAGTTCTGCGATCCCAGGCAACACTTGATGAAAGAATGATTTTGCATCAGACCGGGACAGGAGGTCATCGAAAAAAAGGGAGATTCCGTCTGAAGTGCACCGTGCCATGTGGTGCGTATTTAAAAATCCACTTTCTCCTTGCATGTCAACTATGCAATAATAGAGTGCTTCCCCGCTATCTACATGGCTAGCTCCAGGACCTTTAGCTAACGCAAGTAGAGAATATTTCACCTTCTCAGGCCATTCGTAATATCCGGCAGAGCTGCGGTTCCTCCTTACAGGCAAAAATTTGTCCATACCTGCGTTTCTAGAGCAAAATGGCTTTAATTTCAATTACGGTTAAATGGCTGCTGAATTTCCTGGCCTTCCGTTCTTTGACAAAATGGTGGTGGCCCTTCATCAGCAATTCTCCAAAAAAAAAACCTTTCGTACCCAATACAAGCGCATGCAGCCACTATTAATTAAACCTATCATAGCCCCTGTGATATCTGAACTTTTAGGCTTGCGTTCGTCTAACCAGTTTTCCTCACCATTCTGGGAAGCTAGTAGCTTTTACATATGTTGTGCAAAATCGGCACTCCATTTCTCCTTCGCACGCTGGCAGAGACTATCCTTGATCCAGGGACACGAAGTCGTGCTGTGCCTACAACACCTCAAAGAAGAGCACACGAAGATGCCATCGTAACGTTTCAATACTCTCTTTCGCAATAAGTGTAGCCAATGAAAACAAATCGAAGGCGATCGGTAGAATGCACCTTCGTTGTCAAAGTGCTTAGATTGAAGTGAGGTACCTACGGATTTCACCTATTACACAACAGTACTTAGGGGATTAGGGCCACTATTCATACTATGACCTATGTCGGACTTCGACACAGAGCACATTGTGACAATCAATCCCTGTATGTGTAAAAGGATTGCAGACCAAAGAGAACTAAAATCAGACATGTCCCAAATGCAGAACGATACTCAACGACCTAATCGATACTGGGACGCCTTCGAAAGACTTACCGCTAAAGACCACTTAAGAAGCCAGGGTTGGAAACAAAATCTCTGCAACAGAGCTAAAAAGAAAAAAAGAAAACAAAAAGAAAACAAAACAAAACTATGCAAAACACCCCAACAGAAAAGCTGCTCCCTAAGACCAATTGAAGAAGGGAGTCTTATTGCGAAATTGATGCACTTACATTTACAAAGGCAGCTTCTTTTAGGAGACCTTCTCACAGGACTATACACGCACCATCTGTGCTAACGCCAAAGACATCCCAGCTTCTAAAAAACTTCCAATACCCCAAGAATCTAATGCAGAGCAGGAGCTTCGAAACCCTCCCGAGCAATACGCGGGCTCTTCCTCCGAGACTGAGAACTCAAGTACAAGCTCACGCAAACTGAATCAATGTGTACAGATAAAAATGGTGACGATGGTCAGACGATTCAGCCCCGAAATGACGGTGAGTCAAGTCGAAGGTGTCGTCTCAGTCACGACCAAAAAGCGGGAACCTGGGAACGCAGAAGGAGTGGACTTAGCCATAATAGACGCCACGTGACCTTGTCCACGAAGGCTTCCGAGAAGTCCTACTGCTAAAGACCACGAAGGCTTCCGAGAAGTCCTACTGCTGAAGACCACGAAGGCAGAGATGGCTATGGCGATCGGTGAAGGTTATCCAGTTCTGAAACTGTGACTGATTGTTGATGCACAGACTCGGAGCCCATTCTCGAATCAAAGCATGGACCGCCGCTACCAGTCTTTGAAGCTGCGCGACGCCATCTCGCGCAGGTATGATACGTACCAAATCCAGATCAGTTTTAGGGCTGTTGGGGTGAATTGGTGGAAGGTTTGATTGATGTTGAATTTCCACCACGGCCGCTTGCATCGAGTAACTGTGATTGAGCGAGGTGTTCAAGGAGGAATTCTTTTGGTAGAAGAGAGGCTGTGTCTTTTTCTTCGAGTTGTTCAAGAAAAAAAATATACGGTGTGAAGATCACGTATTGTCCTTGAGAGGTAACCGGCAGAGACGTGTGGTATCTTATATGTTCCTTGATAGAAATGTGTGATGGTATTCCTTGATAGTATTTCATCAAAATATGCAGGATTCATTGAGTATCAACCTTTGAAAGGTAATACACTATTCTTGTCTTAATTCGAGGTTGGGGTCTTAGGTCTTGCTATCTGTCTTAGTGGGTGGGGACTGTTGAATGGTTTCTGCTCAATTCTATGAGCATGAATTAAAATTGACGTTCCACTTGGCCTGAGATTGAACTTCTGTGGTGCAGAAACGATTATGTAGAAGCATGTAAAGAACTGCAAGGCATTTTGAAAGCTGTCTATAAATCTGCCCCAAAACCACTTCAGTCCATTCTTTACGAAGATGTCGTACATGCATTTCGCAGTTTGCCAGAGTACGTGTCTTCTTATATTCTATATCTATGAGTCTATCCAATGTTTTGAAATAAGCTTCATCAATTTTTTGACATGGACTTCATTCTGGCTTCTCCCTAGGCTCATCATATGATTGTGCAATTCCGAATAGAAGGGGATGGGCATTGGGGAATAGGATTCATGCTGAAATATCTCGTACTGTTGTGATGGTGGCAGAATGGAGAATAAGCAACAGCTAGAAGCTGCAAGGTTGTTACTCCAAACAGTAGAAGACGTTTTTCCTAAGCAGAGGCGTGCTTCAGCTGCCCTTCAACACAAGATTGCTATGATAACATGGCACCGACAGTTTAAATACCCTGAACCTTTGCCTGGTAATTTGTATGACGTGCTACTATACCTCACAACTTCGTTATTTTTATTTAGGTAGCAGCCCTATGTTTGGCTGGTTTTGTGCCTATGTTGCTTTGTGTCTTTTAGCTGAAGGTGATGAGGCATAATACAAAAATGCGTTGTCTTTTTCATGCTGTAGTATAGAATGACAAGCTGTTTTCGATAAAGGACAAGTCTTGCTCCCTTGGGACTGGGTAGTCACGGCATTGTTTCTTCCTGAGACGCTCTATTCCTAGAGATATTTTGTGCAGAATAAGCTTAGTGTGGTTGAAAATAGAAAAATATTAATGTTTTCTCAATCTTTCTATAGTAGAACAGTCTAACTTTTCATAGCCAAAGTTATGTTGTTGACGAGTTGTTTAAGTATGTCAAATCACTAGAGAAGAGATCTCAAGTGTTTGTCTTTGGATGTTTTGACAGAATGCTCACAACTGTCAGGGGACACACTACTACATGTATTCGAATATCTGGATCCCCAGTCGTTGGCCATAGCTTCTGCTGTTTGCAGGTCAATGAGACTTATCACCAGTATAAATTTTGAAGGAAGTTGCCAGCTTTGTTATGGTTAATGAACTTCAACAGTATTCACCTCGTGCTTTATCAAGAGTTACCGATTTCTTTTTAAGCGGAGGAACTCATAATTTGGTGGAAGATGTGCTTTATTGCAGGACGTGGAATGTTGCAGCAACGGATAACGCACTTTGGTGCAATCAATTCAAATCCCTATTCGCTGCAAAGGGTTCACTTGAACCACAAGAGGTTCCAGTTGGATTCTGGTATGAAACTTTCAAAGCTTTTATAGACATCAAAGGTAAATCAGAGGCTGGAAGATTGTATTTTTTAGTCATTAAGCTGGTGCAGCAGTAATCTTTGATGTGTATTGTCGCAAAACCCCCAATTAGAGTTGTTTCATTCTGAGTTTTGTATGATCGTAACATTATCTTATATTATGTCAGTTATGCACTATTTGCAGAGCATAGAGAAAAACTTTTCTTCTCAAACAGAGCTTTCTGTTCAGTCTGCCAAAAAGTACTGTGGTTGGTAGAGCCTCATTGGAAACCTGTCAAGGGCATGTGTGTTGCAAACAAAAAAATTCATTTACCTCATTCTATGTCCCTCAGTCAGGTATGTTTTGCACCTTCGTAAGCACTCTCTGTAAATCAATAAATGTTTTGAAAAGACATCTGGAATAATGCCCTTCGAACTGTGAAAAACCTCTTATTTCCTGGGAATGATTCAATTGTGACAGCGTAGACCTGCTTATGATGATGTTGCCTCTGGGTGGTCGCAGGTTGTGAGGTACGTGGAGCGTTCCGTCACGCCAAAAGCTTCTGATTATTCTAGCAGCAGTGATTCGGATGATGACTCCACCCAAAATTCTTTCAGGTTATGGCAGGTTAGGAAGGTCACCCTGGACGCAGATCGAATTCACATTAAGTCTCAACCTCCAGGAAGCGCGAGATGTCGGTATGCACAAGAGGATGCATGAGAGACCATCCGATGCTGAGCTCGCCAGGTGAGCAGCACGATCTGCCGTGTATATACCTCGAGGATATACGGTGTCGGTGAGTCAATACCGACACAACACATCACGAGATCTATTTCTGTTGTTTCATTCAAATCCGTTGCCTCTTGACTGTAAAGCTCAGTAACGACCTTCGTTGCTACATTGTCGCCTCCTGAAGCCGTTAGACCTGGATTATGTTATCCCTGTGATTCTACCCCAGTGGATATAGCAGAGAATATACTTGTGATTCTATTCATCTGGATCTTGGACAGTCCAATTGCTTCCAGTGGATTTGTAGATAGGGTTTAAGGTTGATCTTTATAGCTGTGTGGTAACACAAAATTGTCAAATGGGCATTTTTGGATTTTGGAACAACTACAAGTCGACATTTCTTTGGGTGGAGTCATCATCTCCCAAATGCTATACCTTAAATTGGTAATGATTAGTTTGGAAGAACAAAAATAATATATCCAAGAGAACAAAACCATTGGGTATTAAGTGGTTTAAATAATGAATAAGAAATGTCATGATAAAAATATTCTATTAATTATTTTCTATTTACCAAATTAATATTAATATTACTTGTAATAACATATTCTATTCATTTATATTTTAAATAGAACTTAATATTTTAGTTCATTTTAGAATTTATGTAGAATATAAGTGAAAAAATAAATTTAGAATTGAAACAAAAATGACTATTGTCAAATGCAAAAAGATTAAGAAGTCTTGAATCAAGGTAAAAATATAAAAAAAAGCATTGACAAGAATAAAGAGGTCTCACTTTTACTTCTGTATATATTACCTACTAAAGAATTGTGTGGCAATATCTTATTGACTATATGACATGTGTTCAACTTATAAGACATGTGTTTAATTTATAAAGCAAGTTTCTAATATGGACACTATATGACCAACTTTTAGTACAAGTTGCTAAATGTGCAACATATGGCTAGCTTATCATCTAAGTTGTCAACCTATCAATTATTCATAAGAATATATAAAGTCTATAAAATCTCTAAAAAAAAGTATCAACAATTTAACTTAATTCTACTTATTTCTATCTAGTTCTATTTATCTAAGTAAATCTACTAGTGAATATGACTAACCGTCATATATAGTAGATGGCATGATGTATTTTATCTATTGACAAAAAACTACGATTAGTTAATTTGGATTCTAAACTATATCTAAATAAAGCTCTAATTTTATATTGTATCTCAATGGGGGATATTTCTAATATCTAACCTCCAAATTAAATTGGTCCAAATTAAAAGCATAGTCTAAAAAATTTTACTTCAAACCATGTCAATTACTACAACCAACCAAATTTGGTATTATCTTCAAACATTTTTTCTAAAATCAAGTTATAAATATCATAAATTGTCAAAATATTGAATGATATATAGCCATTAGATTGTCCCAATTTGTTTGACTAAATTAATAATATCATTCTTAAAGTTATTATTTAATAAATCCATATATTTATTTAAAATATTATTGATATTATTTTTTATCACTTATAATGCACCAAAATTAATAAAAATAAATAAACAAAATCAAATCATCCAAAAGTAAGGAGTTTTTTTTTATAACTAAAATTATATTATAACATCAATATCATATTTTTTTTTAATTATAGAGAAAAATATTTTAAAAAAAAAACATGATTAGATTCAAAATGCACTACTTCTATGCTTGGATTTTTATACACATCTATCTTTATTTAATGTAATAGATTTGGTAATTATTGGATATATATTAATTCTATTCTTTTAATATTATTAAAAAAATAAGTGGCTTATAGCTATATCTAAGGAACTACGTCATTCTCATATATATATATATATATATATATATATATTCAAATAAATATTTTTTAAATATTTTTGCCTAAATCTCCTTATTATTAATATTACTAATTATGAAGAGGTTTTCTCTTTTATACAGTTCAACATTCTAATAAGTAATTTTTGAATACATTCATCCATCTTCAAGTAGACAATAGACTTAAAATTATACCTAACAATTCTAATATTTGTTAACTTATTGGAAGAAAATTTTGAGTTATCCATATTGTTTTTGGCAAATAAATTGGATGTTTTTGAATAACTCTTAAAGTCAATAAGCAACAAAAATTTCATTGAGGTTGCAGATAATGAATTTTTTTTGTGTATTAATTCTTAAGCTTTTGAAAAAAGTAGCATTGTGTTTATTAAAAATAAATTTAATTATCTAAATTTTTATTATATTTGATGCATCAAATTATTCTTAATATATTCTTGGCTACTTATAATTAACAACTTATAGCTATAGCTTTTAATTGGCTCACACAATCTACTTATTTGGTTAGAACTCCTCAAAAACTTGAGCTAAAAATATTTTTAGTTAACTTTGATTGTTGACTAAAGATAATTTCAAAAATAGATATGATAATTATTACATGTTAATTAAGTCACATTAATAATTTTTAACATAACTATAACTTTTGTTTTTAAAGAAATAGCATAAATAAATTAAAATACATTTTTTTCTCAAAGCAACATACAACTACTATAATTTGCTAGTTGTGAGACATAAAGGAATTTAAACCATTAAGCAATTAGTCAAAAATATATTATTAAAAAGTACAAATTTTCATAATTATTTTAATAATTATTTTCATAAAAAAAATTATAATAATTTTGTTATATTTTTTTGAGAATGATTTAAAATATAACAAAAATTGATATTTAATATCATTTAAAATTAATAAAGCCATCAAATCATGATATCTTGTTCTTTTTCTATATTTTATTATTTAAAAATAGTTTTCATTTTTTAATCATGCAAAATAATAATAAATAAATAATATATAATTATAGAATATCTGTAACTGTTACTTTTAAACTCCTGCACAATTTAATTTTATTCTTGGTGCCAAATGTTAATTTCTTCTCAAGTAATTATTGTGACCACTATTTTGTGATCACTGCTTTTGCCGGTCTTTACTTTCAATCGTTCTAACACTTCAATCTATGCCTTCAAAATATTATGGCTTCACTCTACACAAAAGCATCCGTGTTTCAGACAAGTTTCTCCGAAATGCATGGACTTAAAATTGTGAAATGCCAAGGTTTACAGTAAACAAATAAGAATCGGAGATACATAAACGATTTAATTAAAATTCAGACATAATGAATTGTAGATCTACATAGCATATAATTGACGATGACAAAGACTAACGTGCAGTTCAAGATTGCACATTACAGAATTTACTAATGGCAAGATATGAGACCGCGCTTAAAATTATCTATCTTCTCGCAGATCTTGAGCATGATCTAACTCTTTACAATTTACTTTGCAAATGGTGTACCATGTTTTACCGCCACAGAATCTGCTTTGCAGGCAGAGTAGCCATGAAAGTCAGCATTTGCCCTTATTTGAAAGTGAACTACTCCCACAGATTATTTTTGGAACTAAACTTCTGCCCCTCTACTTGTTCAGGTGTAGTAGCAAGGCTCGGGTTTCGGAGAAACAGCAGAGTTGCTTCTCGGTAATCCTGCTGAGACTGAGCCAGAACCAACGAGATCAGAAGGACGGTCGGGCGGCGGATGAGGGGTCCTGGACAGTTGTCCAGAAGAAGAGTTGGATCCATCTGTTCGATCCGTTCCTGGCTCAACAGACACCCAGGTTCGACATACTCCAGCACTCATCTCCCGTGCCCGAGCACCAATATCTTGCATCATTCCACCTCGTGTTCTCAACCTTTCACGGAATCCTTTAGTGCTCTTCGTCAAAGATTCCTTGTATCTGTCATGCATAGGCACATCAGGAACCTTCGGTGTAAACACCGACAATTTGTGAGGTTACACAAGGTTCTGTAGGACCAGGACTAAGTAAAAACATGATGTAACAGCAATAATAACAATAACTTGCCAATTCAAACGATGGGTGCCTCCATATTGTAACTGAATTATACCTGGTGGATGCTGCAACCAAACGAGATTTGAAGGTATCAAGAGACTCTGAAGAAGATGTTCCGTGCTCATCTAATTGAAGGTTCTCTGACCTGATTCTAGCGGCAACACATTAATCAGTCTAAGATCAACACACACAATTTGACAAGGAATTCAAGTCAAATCAACATATGTTCTCCATCTCATTTCCCTGATTATGAATTTTACGAGAATCACAATAGACCACCAATCTGCAACAGCAACCATTAACCATTGACCAGCAATAACACATCTGAAGACCTAAACTCACCTAGGAGTTGAAGAATTAGCTGAGTGACTGTCCCTAGTAGGAGCAGAGTAACACGGAAACGAAAAGACAGTTGCAAGTGATGTTTCAATATCGGAAGTCTGCGGAGGTGATGCAACTGGAGAACTGGATGCAGGGGAAGAAGGCGCTCCAGCAGGTGCACCAGAAACAAGCACATAATGCGGACGACCCTGAGCAGTAGTAGATGGCCGAGAGCGAATATGTTCCCTCCAGCTCATTGGATGAGCTCGTCCCATAGCCATGGCCGCCAAATGTTGCATGATGCAATTCTCGTCCCCATAGGATGCGAACTGCAGTAACATGCGAAGAGAGAATTAAAGAAACAACGAACGACTTAAAATGAAAATCAAAAACGCGAATACCGTTGATGAGAAATACCATTGATTATAATGAAGAAAACCTTAATGCGAATTAGTGAGGATAGTGAAGTAGGAAATTAGTAAAACAGATTAAAGCTGTATGACTGTCAAGATCATATCTACAAAATTTCCGGACTCTGATGGCGCTTGGCTGCGCTGCCATAATGATTCCTTCCTTATTCTTCAGAAAAGAATACACCGTTATCGCAGACTCTAATTCATTAAAATGTGGTCAATTAAATTAGGCTCCTTGGCATTGGAATGACAGTTTTTTTGTTTTTTGTTTTTTATTTTTTTATCATGGAATGCAAAACGCTTACTCGATCGAACCCATATTCCTCGACTGAAGGTCGATGATACATTTGAGCAGCCTGTGTTTTGTGACGTCGTAACGCTCGCTCCTGCTCTACCGCAATCAGTAGTTCTTGACTGCAATAAATGTGATCAGTGGCATAAACCACAAGATGATTTTCAACCACTTTCCTTCAGCGAAGATAAAGCAAACCACAATTACAATCCGCACGCGAATTTAGGACTACAAATGCGATACCTTTTAGAGTCCTTCAAGGTAAGTGGCTGCCAACACATTGGACACTCCTTGCTTCGCTGTGACCTGCAAGTGCCAAAAAACGGCAAGGGCGGGATGTAGGAAATTAACAAGTGCATCAGCAATTGAATTTCACCTCAACGATGTGCTTACATCAGTCAATCGTGGACAGTCTTGAAATGTTACAAAACGACAGTCATGGAATACTATTAACCCTTTCAAATGAGAACATCGAAGAGTGCCAACCTCGTTCCTTGAACCAAAAACTATAATGAGGGATTCACATGAATGTAGAATTTGCATCTACATACCCATCATACTAATCAAAGAAACCAAAATTGAATTCCACTACCCGCCACAATAAGTTCCGACATTCAGGGGAAGAATCGGTACAATTGCGGAAGCAGGGATGCCTACTAGAACACAGCGCTTACCATTCAAGAATGCACTGCAGATGGTACTCGTGCCTGCAGTTGGTAACCTGCGACAGTTCAGAAACAAACAGACAACCAGTTTAATGACAGGATCAGGTCGAATTCAGCGCACCTCACAACAAGAAAACGTCCGAGTAACATCGAGACAAGAACTGACGTGCTTCCAAACCCGTAATAGCAATTAAAACTATAAAAAACTACCAGATGTAAATGAGACCATTAAGCACTACGCTCGAATACACCAAACCAATACTCTCAATATAATCTACGACTTCCAAGCTCCACGAGGTCAAAACCATCCAAAAGCCAAGTCCTGAGGATTGGCCGCTTACAGTGGCAGGATCATCGTCACAAAAGGACTCCAGACAGATGCTGCAAGCATCGTCGCAGGGATCCTGAGCACCGCCCTCAACAAATTCCGCCGCTGATGACATGGACTCTTCCGCGTCGCCGCAAACAACGAATTCCCCTCTAGAGCACACTGCGTCACAGCACCACCACTAAGCACTTCTTCTCCTCCTTCGCGCATCCAGGGTCAAAACTCACTCACTCAATCACACACCTCCCGCCATTAACCACACGATCAAACAACTACTACTACATGTCTCTCCCTCTTCCCCTTTCCCCTTCTCTTCAGAAACTCGAAACAATATCCTACCACGATTACGACCGACACGAAAATCGGGCACCGATCGACCGTGACGTTATCTGCAGCGACACTGTACCACCACAGGGCACCGCCCCCTACAATCACCGTTGTTGGCTTAGAAACGACGCAGACGGGCACTAGAGAGAGTAGGATGGAGTAGTCGCAGTGGTGAAGACGATGGTCAGCGTAGAAGAAGAAGACCAGCCATAGCCCTGAGTCTCGGTGTGGGCATGGGCTTGGGCGTGGGCTTGAGCGTGGGCATGGGCTTGAGCGTGGGCTTGAGCTTTGGTATCGAAGGAGGACGAGGAGGAGCAAGAGCAGAAGTAGAAGAAGGAGCATGGGTAAGTGAGTGAGGGAAGGGAAGGAGGGTGTTGGAAACGGGAGTCCAGTTTCCCTTGGACGAAGGCAAAACTCGCGGTCATCTCACCCCGAGTTCTGTCCAGTGATTCCGCCCCGGGATTCCTCTGCCTTACGGAGGGTGGGGGGTCCTTTAGTGGGGAACATGGGGAACATGTGGCATTCACTTTCTTTATTAGCATTCTCACACCCTTTTTGTCGTCCTCCTTTGTTTGAGAGGGAGGGAGGGGATAGGAATGAGCAAAACCCAACTTTTACTTTGCTATGCTTGGTGCTACAATCGATGTGTTTTTAGGATAAATATATTAAATAAAATATCATGTGGTTTACATTTATAAGGGTTTTTTCATGATGTTTTTATCTAGTTTTATTAATTTTTATGTTAATAAAAGTATAAAATTTAATCACTATTAAATGATAGTATTATTTTCTTTATATTAAAAATATATATACTCACGTTGATTTGTACAGGCAGTGCTTTTCAAAGACTTGTAACTTTTTTTTTCCATGTTGAAATTATATATATATATATATATATATATATATATATACTAAAAAGCTCTGATAATTATTGAATTGGTTTTTTTTTTTTTTAATAAGCTTTAAAAAAATTTAAGTAGGTTGTCATAGAATTACTACAATATAGAGATTAATAAGAGTTGAGAGTGTTAAAATTTAAAAAAAAAAAACAGTTTGTGGTATGTGAACATGCAATATGTATTCTGAAGATACAAATATTTTTTAATTTATTTTTAAAATTTGTATAATTGTTTAAGAGTCTGTAAATTCAAATTCCCTGGAATCTTTTTTTATGAAACAAATTGACGATTATGCAAGAGAATTTAAGTAAGATGAATTTGTAATTGTGATTTTTGTTAAATAAATATGTTTTCTAAAAATTAGTCTAATGTAAGTACCAACTTTAAGAATTCTTATATATTATTTGTTGTATGTAAAGATTTCATGTAGATATTTTATGATCTAGTCCAAGCTGTAGATGACTGTATATATTACTTGTGTCTTCAACCATTACTTATGTATACAATGTATAAAATATTAACCTAGTTTTTGGTGATATGGCCAATATAACCAGGTCCATAATAATCTGTCCTTCATTCAATATCCAAAAGAAATAAGTAACTTCTCATTATATATCACATTTTTTTAAAATATCAACACAAACAACTTAAAAGGAAATAATCATGCTAGTTTACATATACAAATTTATAGGATTTTTTAAACATAATACTTCTTTATAAAAAAAAACTCAAAAATATGATAACTTGGCCGCTTTTGGAAATAGCCAAAAACAAAATGTGGACTACCACTTAGAATTCTTTATGAATTAATGCTTTTATTTGAAGAAATTATTGTTTGAACGTTTTGAAGAAGTTTGGCTTATGTATTATGTAGATAATGACTACAAAGTTTACCTACACTTTTTTAAGTATAAGACTTCTAAGTCCATCAAAAATTGTTTCAAGCATATGATGAAACTTGAAACCATGGTTGAAATGGTATCTATTAGTTGATTTCTTATCATCAAATTCTAAATAATAATATTAATAAGAATGTTATTTTTTTACACTTATAATTGAATTACTAAAAAAATCAATAAATACTTATCTGTACATATATAATTCAATGTGGTTCACCAAAACTTAAAAATGAATCAATTTTACAAATTCCGATCATTTTTAAAGGAGGTCAAGTAAGATATGCATGCATTTGTTAAAGCATAATGATGATGATAATAATAATAATAATAATAATAATACTTGATTCAAACTGGTAGAATCTCAATATTAAGCCATGGAACAAAACTTATCCACTCCCCAACTGTAGGTAAGTATCAATTATTCTATTAACAATAACCTTAATATAATAGTAATTGTGAAAATGATATAGACAAAAAAAATCTAAAAATATTATATTTTATCACATTTAAATGAAATGAATGCATACAACAATTCAGACATAAATTACTGTGATTTTTGTTCGCAAATTATTTGTTTCTTTTTCCTTTTTTCTTTTCTTGTACCTTATATTCGTTTTTAGCTTTCAATCACATCAATTTCTTTCTATTTTCAGACCAAAACATTTCGAAAACTTAAAAAAAAAAAAAAAAAAAAAAAAATCTAGTTTAAATTTTATGCCTCTTAGATCTTTCATTGGCACTTTAGTTTTACATTGACCTTAAATATTTTAAACCACACACCTTTCCAAAAGTAAATAGACTTTTTTCAAAATGTATGTTACAAGAGCTTTGTGGATCAAGTTAACCCGGTTATCTGTTTTTACATGTATTTTTTTTTAAAATGAATTTTTTCTCACAAAAATCAGGATTTTTAACTGATTTAGTTGTTGATGAAATATTACTTTCAAAAAATAACAATGATTTGTTTTTTTAATAATTTGTGACGTATAAAAAATCTCAATAAAAAAACAAACATACTATTATAATAGACTATCCTGATAAATGAATACAGCTGTATCTTCTTCTTCTTTTTTTCTTTTTTTCTTTTTTCTTTTTTAAAATATTTTTGGTGAATGATGCCATATAACACATAACAACTTTGATGTTTATCAATATTAACATTTAGTATGACATACTAACAACTGAACATATTATGGTTTTACACGTGCTTAAAAAATGTATCCATATTTATATTAAAAGAATATTTATAGATTAATATCAGATCCAACCATATTAAAATAATAATAATAATAATAATAAAGAATTAACAGTAGAAGAAAATTATTAAGAAGCATTCTCGGGATAAAGGATGAAAACTAAAAAAAAATACAATAAATTTCTTAAAATAATATTGGTTTTTATTTATAAAAAATCTTTTAATTTAATTTTAAATTAACAATATATATATATATATATATATATATATATATAAACTATGACTATATACTCACATACTATCTCACAAAAAACTATCTTTTAATATATATATATATATATATATATATATATATATATACACACTATTTGACAAAAAATTCAAATTCCACATAATTTTAAAAAATAAATGAAATTTTATTTATTAAAATTTATTTGTGCATATTAGAGTTGAAGAATAATTTATTTTTTTTAAATGTGAATAAGGATAGGAGTAGATCAATAGATTGTAATTGATAAAGAACATCCTAATTAGAATATATATATATACATACTAATGGAAAATAATACATAGATAATTTATTATATATAGAGATAAGAAAAGATAGAATAAATAGTAGGAGACATTGGTCTCAATTAGCAAATGCAAGAATAGGGAAAGCTGACAAGGATGAAAAAATGATATTGAAGAAAAGAAGGGATAGTATGAATAGAACAAGCAAAACATCCATATCATTCAACAATGGTCACCTAACATCTTCACATTCTACAATCTTTTTCTAAGCCTTCAAAATCATATTTTAACTCTATCATGCTTTTAAGGCCAACAACATAAATGTTAGACTTTTATAGTTTGCAACAATCTTTTCTAAAGTCTTTTTTGCTTCTATCTATTGTCATGGATATATATATATATTTACTTAGATTAAAAGAATTAGATAGAAGTAAATAATAATAAGTAAATTTAATGATATGTTATAAAAAAACTTCTTACAGGCTTTTTAGACATGATTTGATTTTTTATTTGTTTGTAGGTCAATGATAGATTAAAAACATAGCCAACAAGTTGGCCATGTATTGCACATATTGGTATCTTGTGATACAAGTTGATATTATAGTGCACATGTAGAAAACTTATCTTACAAGTTAGACACATGTTTTGAAGTTGAATATGTGTTGGAGGTCATATAGAACGTTATTACATAGCTTTTAATTAGATAGTATATATGAAAGCTGTTAAAATAAAATTAGAATAAGTTACCTTATAGAGGATATTAACTTAGGTAAGTTGTTAGTGGTCAAAGGTTTGTCTCTTGGTATATGATAAGGGCATCCAATGGATATAGGACGAAGTTATGGACTAAAAGTCAAAGTCAAAATGGTAAAGTATTAACAAGGGAATATCCAAAGACTAGGTATGAGTCATTAATGTGTGTCATAGGATACCCTCGAGCCTCGTGAGATGCCAAAAGAATCCTAGGACCATGTGTATAAAAGTCAAAGAGTGGAAGTTGTCTTTTAGGGCAGTAACTACTACCTATAAGTAATGGGTATTGGAAGTGAGAGATATCTTATTCCATACTCTCTTTGTATGCAACCTTGTTGATGCTAAGTGTTGTGTCTTCAAAGTACTTGTTCTTCAATAGAGGCAAGAATGAGGCATTCTTCACTATTGTCAACACCTTTCTTTTTTGTAGTCTTATTTCAAGAGTTTATAATTTTTGTCTTTAGTAATAGCTATTTTAGTCTTAATATTATACCATCTTTGAGTGGTTATCTACTCTTTTCTATTGATACAAAAAGTATATTGACTCTTTGATTCATTGTGATTCATGTCCTTGAGACTCACTATTATCTATATTTTAATGTAAATTTAATACACTTGTATGTTTTTTTGAGCTCCTTAATCATATATACAAAGTCTATGTATTATTAAACATGCTACAATTACGTTTCCTAATTGTGATGGGATACCTAAAATATCATGGCTTAAATACCAGTTGTGATTGTTAGATAATTGTCATAAACAAATATGGACTTTGGTAAAAGAAATGATACCAATAGAATTTAGTTTAGTCAAATCCAACTAAATTTGCTCACCAATATTTCCTCTATCATGTTGCCAACTTAAAATTTGGTAATAACTTACAAAAATGAGGTAATTAAGTTGTTTTCTTAAAATATTAGTAATTACACAAAAAAAAATGAATTTAAGATTTTATTAATTTTAATTTTTGATCATGTGACATCTAATAGATAAAGCTTGTGACTTATTCTCTAATGTCAATTGATCAATATATTGGAATTTTAATGTAATTTAATTTATTTTTATTTCTTTAAGATTATGTTTAAATTAAATTATATTTTTACATGAAGTAGTAGGGATTAAAGGTCAATACAAGATATGTTTAGAATCTAACAACAAAGACACTTTATAATGAATTAAAAGAAACATAAACATGCCAAACAAATATAACAAAGATTATATGAAAGTAGACTTTTTAACTTTTTTTAATTTAAAATTAGATATATATATATATTAAAAAGATTTGCATTTAAGCTTTATATCAAAGGCTCTTATTTACTTATATATAATAAATTATATTATAAGTCAATTTTTTTTGTTTAAAAAGAATAGCAGTACTATTATTAGTTTTTTTTTCTTTGCAAGTGATACTATTGTTGCTTTATTGCCTATTAAATATGATTAATTAAGTTATTAATGACTTTTCAAATGACATCATATCTTGGTAATTAGTAGATAGTATACTTGCAACTATATAAAATTTGAAAGTATATTGAATCAGAATTCTTAATTATATTTTTGTATTATATGGAAGAATATATTATATACATATACTTGGATATAAACTAAATTGTCCCTTGGAAACACCTATAATTTTATTACTTCACATGATCTAATTTTAATATTTAAGATAAATCTAAACCATGCAATGGTCTTAAAAAGTAACCAAATACTTAGCATCCACCATTAGTAACCAAATATCAATTTAACAGTTGTTACTGGATCCAGTAAAGCATTTTAGATGCAAATCTGGTTTTGGACAATCGGAAGCTAAATTTCTTTTTAGACGCTGTTAAGCACACGTTGACTCAAGTAACCCCTTTTGGATGTGAACAACTTCCCCAATGGTCAACGCATTTTGGATTGGAATGCACAAGCTGCCAAATTGAGAAGCATCAGCATGTAAGAGTATCCTAGATGCTCAAAACATTCACCCCGCTGTTGACGAAGGCTCTACCGTTATGCAAGCTGGGTTTCCATAGCACCGTGCGAAGCCAGTTGAAGGAGAACCCGATGAAGGAGTGGTAGATTGCCGTGCCGCAGCAGACTCCAACCAAATGACGAGCACCCACTTCTCCGCACTCTAGTGAGAACAAAAAATTCAAGAAGACCTAGTCGTGATGCAGGCGCCAACAGCAGCTCTAGAATATGGTAACCAGCGTCGCAACCGTATTCGCTCGCAAGTAACTCCACGCTGATCACAGAACCGAAGAGGATGCAGCCGCTACACACACGAATAACAAAACGGAGAGGAAGCTCCGTGGGAATCGAAATTGGAATGTAGTACACAAAACCAGACAAAAAGGGAAAAGGAAGTTGACACTTCTTCGAGGCAAGGCAACCAGCAGAACACTTTGACGAAAACAGCCACCACAACACAGACCCAGCAATATATCTCAGACAGCGTCGCACCTCGGAGCCTCCACCAACTGCACGTCCACCGGAATTGTAGCAGAGAGGGAAAGGTCGGCAGTAGCACCAATCCAGATCAGCGCCACCTTCAAATGAGTAAGAAAACAAATAACCACACGCCTTGAACTGCAACACCGCTGTAGACACCAACCGTCGGAAGAGAAAAAAAACAAAAGCACCTGCCAGAGCCCCCCAGAGCCAGGACGGAAGAAAAAATCAGAAAAAATAACAATCAGAGAGAGAGGAGTTCGGGGCAGCCTGGATCCCTATCGGGGAGGAGGTCCAGCCTCATCCGACCGGATGAGGCGCTCGATACTGATACTCGGTTGCTACCCCCTACACTTGGCTGTTGCACCACTGCCCAATATTTGCTTCCAAACAAATCCGGTATGGTATCCAGTACCGTATCTGTCTTTGTATAAAGTATCCCGTATTCAATGGACTCTTGTAGTTTGGAATAGTATAGTTTCTATATTTTAAATCTTTATGCTATACTGTCTACTATATCTCTACGATATCTAGACTATATTAGTACTAAATACGTACCATATCCAAATTGTACTAGGACTATATACACATCATATTATTGTTTATACCCCTACAGAATCAGTGCCGTATTTTTGTTCACCTCAAAACATATCCATACCGTATACAGATTCCATACTACTGGAATCTTTAATATTCTAAATTCTTTGAAGATGCTAAAATTATGCTAATTGGATGCCCTTCAAGATACCTTCTAAAATTGAGCTGTCTACTAGAATTCCTATACATAATTAGAATTAATCTACTAACTCTATTTTGTTTTCATTTAGCATTTACTACACTCTTCTTCAACTAATGATTGCTAATTAACATTATTCTTGCATTCTTTAATGGATTTGGTGACTCACACAATGTTGTGATTCATCGAATAATCATTATGTGAGTCACCAAATCCATTGTGTCGATTGACATCTAATGCAACCCAAAATAATTATTAATGCCTCTACCACTACATTAGTAGTAACATCAATATTTAGAACTTGTTATTTGCTCTAAGATTACTCACATTTGTGTAGTTTTTTTAATTCACTCTAAGCAATAGGTTAGATTATTAAAATACTGTTATTTCAAAGTACCTTGCGAAGGATTAACAAGGATATTTCCAAAATGGACATGTATTAATTTGGCTCCATTCATATTGATATTGTATTAGAAACATATGCAACTTCTAGAATATAGCCTCTATTTTTGCAACTCAATACACCACATGCTTGAATTTCAATTGCCACTGTAGACTCTGCCATATAATGTCTTGATTCAATTGAAATGGTGGATTGTTTTGACACATGTTGTGATATAAATAAAGTTTGGTCCTTTTACAAATAACGTCTCATTTATTGATGTGTGAAGATGACATTATAAAAATGTTTGTATTGATAATGTTACGAATACATCTTTAGAAACTTAAACAAAACTTGTGTTACATGACTATAAATATTAAATTATCTAAATAAATAAATAAAAGTTGTTGAAGTCTATTGGATGATTTTTATGTTGAATAAACTTTTTTAATCAATAAAACATAGCAAAGTTTCATTTTTTGTTTTTATAACTCAAGTTAAAAAGGGCCTACAATCATAAATAAACAATGTCAATTCAAATAAATAAATGAATGTGCGGGCATAAAATCTTCACATGAAGCAAATTTAATTCTGAACTTCACTTGATTTTTCTTCAATTGAGGGGGCATAAAAACCTTTTTGTGACTGTACGTTTCTCCCATGACAAAGTGTTAGTGACATGTACATTAACAGATTGCGACAGCGGAAGGACAAAGAAAAATAAAAAACCTTAATAAATTTCCTCGAGTGTGAATTAATAAAAATAGACTATAAAGCAAACTAATAAAAAAATTTAGACAAATGTTACAAATAATAGGCAATGAGAACTTCTTCGGTTTCATATTCAGAGGCACTTGGCAATATCACACGAATGAATGTGACTCGCAACGAACGCTCGTTAAATCTTCGTTCGTCGTTAACGTTGGAAACGCCCTCGGAATGAAGATGACCGACCAAAGTAGTGGATGTACGAACTTTACATGGATGAACGACCATTTCCCTCATCCGTATCTGTATCAGATGAAGGCACTGCGGGGGCTCTAATTTTCCAATTATGAAAGTAAATATAAATGTAAATATAATTCATTATAAATGAATCGGATTTGAAAATGAACAGAGTGAGTCCCCTGCTTCACCGAGGCTTTGACGAACACGTTGGACGCCGAACGCTTCTCGCACTTCCATCAAACGCGCCAATATCGAGAATCGTCGACCCTCTTGCACGATCGCGATATCGGTCAGGTGGGGATTGTCTTTCTACGTTACGCCACGAAAATCTTCATGTCGGTGTTGATGGGATTCAGTTCATCTTCAGAGTGGTGTGTTACGGTGTTCGAGTCGGTGAATGTTTGGAAGGGATAGGGTTTCATTGGCGTGCGCTTTGGACAAGGGAATGATCGACGTGTGTTGTGTGAGTGACGGAGAACTAGGGTTTGGCTGGTTTGCTTCTTCCGACGTGGGCAGTTTAGGTTTCCTTTTTTGTTTTCCGAGTGGTGACTTCGTTGACATGGTTGGACAGGGTGCGTGTGTTGAATGTATGGCAGAAAAAGGTTGAGCGTTCTTACGTACAAAAGAGAGTCCCGGGAAAGTCCAACACCGACGAGTCTGTGGTTTGTGTGCCAGACGGTTTTGGTGAGTTGGATGGTCGGTTGGTTGTGTATGTGCAAGCAGTTTGTTGAAAACAGCGCAGGTTCGACGCAGGCAGTCAGGTAGGAGAGGGTAGAAGAGAAGAGGAGAGGGTGCGTGGGGACCTACTCCAACGCCGCGCCTGCTGCTGCTACTGCTCGGCGGGAGGTATGGAAGCTAGGGGCGATGAGGAGAGGATGCAAGAAGTGGCGCCCGATTTGAATGGGACCCTGGAGGATAATGATGTTGACGACGAGGAGCAGCAGCAGCAGCAGGACGTGGTCGAGGACGATGAGCCCCAGCACGGTGACGAAGAGGAACATATCAACGGCTTCCAGAACGGAGGGTCTGCTAATGATGCCTTGGTAGAGAGTGATTCCAAGGATTCTCCCCACGGCTCGCAAGGAAAAGCGTCCGGTACAGGGTTAGTTGCCAGTGGCCCTAGCTCTAGTTCTAGTCGTAGTCCTGCCGTTAGTCTGACCTCCAGATGTAGGTTTCCTCGCGATGAGTGTGTTGTGGTTGAGATTCCGGAGGGTTTGCATGTAGGAGGTTAGTTTGGTCACTGGCCATGGCATGTATGATAGCTAACGCAGTACCCGTTCGCTTGATAGAGGGAAGATTTTCATCGGCGGCCTGTCATGGGACACTTCCACAGGTATGCGTCGCTGCCTTCCTTCCACATCATTGTATGCGTTGTAGTGTACAAGTCTCTGTCAATCTCTGCTTCTTCTCGGACTTGGCTTTGACGCGAAGGCCATGGTGAATGTGACGTGCGCAATCGAGGAATACAGGGGAGCTTTGATATGTGGTAGTGTGCGGCATGTCTGATGGACACTGAGAGATATGCTTGATTTGGAGGGCAGGCATTCTGACTTGATTTGTATTGTCCTGCTCTTGCATGTATGTTTATATTCTGTTTTCTTAGTCTATGGTAAGATATTATGGCATAGTGATTTGAGTTGGTACCCATGTGAGGTTGAGACGAATGGGAATGAAGATGGATATGACCTGCACGTGCTGGGATGCCGAGTCTCAAGTTTGGTGTGGATCTTGGGGTGTCGGTCAGCAAGTAGGGGTAATAGTAGTCCATATTTGTTGTCTCTCTTATTTTGTTGGTTTCTACAGACAATTTGCAGAGCCACTTCAAGAAGTATGGCGAGATCATCGATGCGGTGATCATGAAGGATCGATCCACCGGACATCCGCGCGGGTTTGGCTTCGTGACATTCGCCGATCCAGCTGTGTGCGATAACGTCGTGCTGGACAAGCATGTGATAGACGGTAGAACGGTAAGCTCCGAGTCGGGTGTTACGCGTCCGTGTAGGTTGTCGACCACTCTTAGCCTGTTCTTTTAGCGCAGAGACTGCGGCCATAAGTTCTGACAGGTGGCACTGACGTAGGGTGAATTAGGGTGATTGGGAGCACTAGTGGTGTATGGGGATCTCACTAGATGTAGCTGCAGGTGGAGGCCAAAAAGTCAGTTCCTCGTGAAAACATGGCAGCAAGTAAAGGACCGAAGACTAAGAAGATCTTTGTCGGAGGCATTCCTCCTTCTATTACAGATGGTATGCAGAAGTGCTTGCGAGCATTAGCCTTCCCTACCCTTTGACAATGCAGATTAGAGTTGAGTAGGTGTGAGCCCGACTGTTAGGTCATGGTCGCTTGTTAGGTGCAGAAGGTGGAGGTCACGTGGGGATATGTTGAGTGAGTGGAATGTGGTGGATCCTGTACAGAGGAGTTCAAGAGCTACTTCGGCGGCTTCGGGAGCGTAGTGGAGCACCAGATCATGCAAGACCACAGCACCGGACGGTCGCGTGGATTCGGGTTTGTGACGTTTGACAATGAGCAGGTGGTGGAGGACATCCTGGCTCACGGAAAGATGCACGAGCTTGGAGGAAAGCAGGTGAGTCAGTGCGACTGGCATTCGTCGTCTGGTTATCATCGAAGACATGGGTAGTGCTCGGAGGCTTGGGAGTGGTTTGAGGAGGTGCATTCCAACAACAGTTGCGTACGTGACATTATGTTGGGTGGCGCGAGGTACTGTGGGTGGTGGGTGGAGTCTTAGAAGGTGTTGTGCTGAAGGGGGTTGACGTGAGTTGTGCAGGTGGAGATCAAGAAAGCGGAACCAAAACGGGCGATTCAAGACAGTCCTGGCGGGGGGTACATGGGCGGCAGGGGTGGCGGGTATGGCGCAGGTGCAGGGGGGGGGTATGGGGGATACGAGGGAGGTTATGGTGCATCGGGGAGCGGTGGATATGGCGGGTCATACAGGACAGGGTATGGGGGAAGAAGCGGTACGTACGGTGGCGGGTATGGAGGATACGGCGGAGGATACGCGTACGGAGGAGGGTACGGAGGAGGTTTGGGTGTGGGAGGCTACGGGTCGGGTGTGAGTGGTGGATACGGGAGCAGTTTGGGGTATGGATCAAGTGGTGGGTACGGTGCAGGGATGATGGGTGGGTATGGCGATGGGTCCGATGGATATGGGTCGATGGGATACGGCGGATACAGCGGCACGGGGGGATACGGGGCCGGGTACAGCTCAAGCGGTGGCTATGGAGGAAGTTATGGTAGCAGTCGTGGTTACAGCGGCAGCGGTGGCAGCAGTCATGGACGGTACCACCCGTATGGGAGGAGCTAGGGTTGTGTAGATGGCGTGGTAGAGGGGCAGTGTTGTAAAGCAGTGGAGAACACAGGAAGGCTGTTAAATTATTAGTCACCGAGGCAGGTTGTGTCGAATGACGAGGTCTAGCGAAGGGGTTCTTTACTCTAGATGGGATTTCTTTTTCTTTTAAAATTTTGGGAACATAACGCGGCACGCTCGCGCTGTCAGAAGAGTGCTTATGAACCTACTTTAGGTTTGATTTTGTACTTCTGAGTTATGAAGAGAACAATCCCAATTACACTTTGTTTGTTTTACGGTTTTTAGTATGCTGCCTGCTGCTACACCTAGCAATTTTATTGTACAGGATTTCTGGTGGCATGCCTTGAACAGATGCGAAACTGTTTTTCGTGGTGAACCCTCTGTTGTCATTCTTTACTCTTATGTGATATGTATGGAAAAGTATTTGGCTAGAAGTAACTTTTTATTTGATTAATGATGCAGATTGTTGGAGGGTGACAAGTTAAATGATATGAATTGGAAATGAATCGCATACATTTGTCGTTGCTTAGGTATACTCGGATGCCGTAGCCGTGCTCATGCTGGGCTTTTTGAGAACAACTGAGTTGTTCTGTTGGAGATGTGTGCTGTCTGCAACAATTTTGGAAGTTTTGGATTGTGACAGGATACATGGGGAAGAAAGGATCTTATACCCTCTTTTCAACAAGCATCGGCGATGTGAGGTTTGTTTCATGCAGTAACCAGAGAACTTTTTTTCCTCTTTTCTTTTTTTAGCTCTATCCTTCACACGTCCTTGCACATGGTACTTCGATATACATGTTCCATGCACACATTTCTGATTTGTTTCATGTATTTCCGTGACTTCGAGGAGACATTGATTTGTGGACCCAAGCAGTGATTGCTTGAGATTTTGCCCAGAGCAATCTTGGTCCAGGATTTGACCTAGTATGTCCAAAACCACACTGTATCTCAGCATGCAATTCCCTATCAGTCTGGAGGTTGTGTGACAATGTCAATACCACTTTGGATTTGCGCCGCAGATCGCCTGGTGTGCAATATGTTAAGCAGAACTAGAGTTCCGGCGGAGGGCAACCCTTGCTCCTTTTGAAGGCAGAAAAGTCCCTCTTTTGTCTTTCTCAAACCATTGCATCAGGCAACGACTCCTTGTTTTCTTCTGCCTGTTTCTTAATCACATTGAATGTCTTATCCTGGTCCACAAATCTCACAATTGGAAATTAGTGAAATGATAGATCCATGTCTGGAATTTTTGTCGTTTGTGTCCAGATGATTGATGTCTTTCCCAACCATCCACTATGTCCAAAATCTATATTGATCATTTAAAGATTCAACACACTCTAGGCATAATATGTGGTTTACTTCTTGTGTTACACCTACTTTGCTTAACTTCTTTTTTGGTATGAAAATATAGAAAGAGAAAGGAAACAAAATAAAAATAGAATTATAAATAAAAAATCTCACACAAAAAAAAAATCCAAGGAATATTTCTTTTATAAGTTTGATGTGCTGGTCTCTAAGTTTTTGTTCTTCCTAAAAATAATTTTTAAGCAATTCGATTGTTTTATGCTCTAATATGAAGACAATATTAGTCAAAAAAATTGCGTGAACCAATAAAAACACATGAGATATGATTATTGTTTAGTTGGTGAAGTTTGAAATTTGAGCATTATTATTTATTATTCATGGATTTCAGCATGTTTGGCCTAGGCATATGGAAGTTTTAATCAATGATGTAAACATAAAATCTAAAATAAAAATATTATAATCATGTGAATCAACAAATAATATTTTTAATCAATTATGTTTAAATTTTTAGTTAATCGAAATATAAAAATATTGATCAATATGCACCATTTTGGTTTTATTTAAAAATTACAAACCATTCTAAGCTTAAAAATGAATTTGTTGTACTTTGAATTTAAAATTATGCCACCATAAGGATATGAATCTAAACTACTATGACATAAAGAGTGAATTAAGACATGCCAAAAATTTATTTATCAAGACATTTAAATGAATCATCTTAGAAAACAATACTAATCTCCAGAGCACCAACAAATAAAAAAATACATATATATATATATATATATATATATAAATGTGGCTCATGTTGAAGCCATTTAAGAGCAACTCGAGGAATTGCATCCAAGTTTCAATAGGTTTTTGCTATGCAATTGCATATCTGTGTTTAGGCACCACTACCACCATCATCATCAAACCGCATCACACTTGCCAAATGGGTTGATGATGATGGTGGTTGTAGTGGTAATGATAGAAGAAGTGCTCAATGTAGTTGTTCTTTCACAAATTGGAACCTAAAATCTTCAATATCTTAAAGTGAGAAAAAAAAAAAAGTTGCCAACATTTTACGACTTCTTATTGCAAAAGATATTAGAAATACAAATATGCACTAGAATTGGTCTTCTAATTTTGGAGCCACCAAAGCTATTACAAACCATCTTCCCTAATCCTCTACACATATTGCAATCCATGTCATCATCAGACCACCTTGTGCATATGCATGACAATTTGTGAGATCAATGAGAAGTGAAGTATTGCCTTCCATCTATCATTGATTTTTGTTCCTAAGCTTCTAAGATGGACTTTATGAGCTACTTGTTGGCAACAAGTAAAGCGCCTTGCACTACTTGGATCATTATTCTTGGACCCATCTTACTACTCATGACCCCAATTAAAAATTTGAAACAAAAATTGGTCTTCTTACATCCTTTGGGTAGTTGTTCCTACTTATTTTATCTCCAATTCAATACTTCATAGTGTTTGTGCCTTCTAGTAAGTGCTCAAAGCTTTGTTGTAACATCTTTTAGCCTCAATACATCAAAAAATGCAAGTGTGGTTCTAAAAATTACTACTAATTAGATGACACTAAGAATTTGCAATGCAAGGTATGGTGTGCAAATTATTAGAAGAAAAAAGAGGTTATATTTTTGTAATTTTTAAAAAATCAAAAAGAGACACAACAAAATATATGCGGCCCATGCTCTAGGTATTAGATGATAATTAAACAAGGAATGTTGGTGATAACTTATCATTAATGAATGTACATTTACTATCATTACAAATCTAAGAGATATATTTACTATTATTAGAATTAAAGTAATATTTTTGATATTTTAGTATATTTGAAGAATATATATATATATATATATATATATATATATATATGATATTTTTTAAAAAATAAAACTAAAATTTTAGTATCTTGTAATATCATGAGATTTTAAAAAATTTAATTTTTTTATTAAGAATAGTAGTATAGAATCAAATAGATTAAAATATTCACAAATCTTGCTATACCATGGTAACAAATCAAAGATTCACATGTTTTTTATTCAATATTGCAAAACAAGAAGGCAAGTCAGACTAGATGTTCTTTTTTTCTTCAATTGATGTGTTTTTATTTATAAAGTCTTTGTCAAACTTTGTAAAATAAAATAGACTCAACATATCTTGGCATAAAATATGGAACTAGATATCTATAAGAAACAATGTCAACATATTAAAACAACCATCACAAAGATAGGAAGATGCCTGTAAGCATACTTGCTTGCTTGCTTGCTTTTTATAGATAGTCTTCTTATGAGACCTTTCTCCTATTGCCACATGCCTTGTCAGATTGTTGGTTAGACAAATAGTTTTAAAAAATGCATTTTGGTTTGCAAAGTATCTTTTAAGAAGAATATGTTATTATTCAACATTCATATATAAATTTTATTTTGTATTTATAAAGATATTTATAATAATATTAGTTATTTTCTATCAATAATGATTTATTAAATTTAAAATTATATATTCATACAAAAAATTAATACAAAGTATTTGAAGAACTAAACTTGATGCATTTATAGTTCTTTTATTTGTTCCATAATCAAGTCAAAATTAAAAGTTTTTGAAGAAAAATAATGCTTTTAGAATTAAATATATAAGTGCCAAAATTATTTGTCTTTTATTCCATTGCATGATATGATGAGATGTTATTTTATTAGGAATATGAAGTTATAGAGGACTAAGTTTCAAGAAGAGTATTTAATGCAATTTCAAAAGATTACATCTTTGTAAAAAAAGGATATTTTTTTAGAAGATTCATATATATTCTAAGGAAAATTAAGATGAAGGCAAAATGCATCATCTATTAGTAGAAGATATAATATTATAAATAATTAAAAAGCTTGAGTCACCAATAGTATATAATATTCCATCTTTGAGGATAAATAAAATAAAATTTAATGGCATAGATTCTAAGAATAATTAATTAATTTATATTTTTAGAATTTAAAATACTTATTTATTAGTCCCACTTATTTTTGATTTTATAATTGATATTACCACTAAAAAGATTTTAAATCTAAAAAATATAAATTATAAGTACATGTGTTATATATTATAGTTGTATAAAATATTATAACCTTGATTTTATTTTATCTTATAACATGCCAAGATAAAAAAATAAATTTATATATTTTTTTATTTAAGAATAATATAATAAAATTATTTTAAAAAATAAGAATTATACAATGTTAGCTTAATTTTTTAAAATTTATTTGGATGCATGCATAAAGCTATATAATATGTTTTTGTAGGATTTAAAGAAATAAATGAAGTTTATAATATTATTAAAGTGCATTTATAAAATTATATATTTATAATAAGAAAAAATAGACTATCAATATTGCTATTATTATAAAAGGATCTTAAATAATATATATTATTATAAGATTATATGTAGTATGATTGTCAATAGAATCTAAGCTTTTGATTATTTATTCATATATACATTCTTAATATAAATTTATTAATAAACATTAGATATACATTAGAAAAAAAAATACAAAGGATAAGATATGTAACATTAAGGTTATAAATTTAAAACAATTTTTAGAACACAATTCTCTCTATAATATATTATATACCAAATTTAAATTTGTATTTTTTATTGCATTATGTTCATGATAAAAATAGAGGTTTAGTAGGCATAGAAATTAAAATTCGTAAAAGTAAATGAGCTTGTAACAAATTATTTTATTTTTTTATTATAATAAAGAAATTTGAAAATATATGTAAAAAAATAATTATGCACGATTGACAATAATAAAAGAACAAAGATACAAGGAATAGATTGTTGTCAAAACTTTGGTTTTGGCAGGAATATAATTTATAAGATTCAAACAACAATAAAAATGATTACAAGTTTAGAATTCTTTGAAGAGATTATTCAGATAATGATAATTATGCATTACATGCTAAGTTTGGATTTTTTTGGAATCTCAAAGGACACCAAAATATAACTTTAGTATTGCTGAAGCTCCATATGCCAAGGATGAGCCGAATGCTCTTCAGGTGTGGCTTGTATCATTCTTTCTTGTCGTCTAGACATGTACCCACCTGGTCAGTCCTTATCCACGCTTCGGTTCCTTGGTTGGTTGATAGTTTGGGCTGACAGTCTCTGTCTAGAAAGTTGACAGGATCGGACAGTTCCACTAAGATTCCAGAGAAGCAGTCCATGTCGAGAGTTGGCTGGAGTTCTACTATGTCGGAGGATGAGTTAGCTAGTGTCTCCGACTCTTCGGTGAGGAAGGTATCCGTGCACGCCTGGACAGCAATTTCGTCCGGGAATTTCTTTTCCTGAAAAGCATGTGAATCAGCATGTTAGGTTCTGAAAGTGGGGGGGGGGGTCTGCGGGTGCAATCTCTCGATAGACGGATGACGTATCCATGACCGTCAATGAGTCTGGTTGAATCAGTCGTCTGAGTTTGTGCGGTGCGATTATTCTTAATAAACCACGACACTGGTGGAACTTCGTTTAAATTTCATACGCATCGTGAGCCGGAATCGAAGTTCATAATCCATCTGCGCGAACTAGATTGAAATCTATGGAAGATAGAACTCTAGATAATAAAAAAGAACATGCAGAGCGACTCACCCTGTCGGCCTAGGCAGTTGTCTGAGCTTGTTTCATTTCTGTGCAGGCTTTTTCCCACTCGTTCTATAATCTCCCACTGCATCACGCTTTCGAGTAGCATCTCTAGTATCCCTGCATGTTCTGCTATCTTTAGATCGGTAGGTCCTATTTCAGAGGGTGGACTTCAATCATGCAGAACTCCCTGGTCCACATGAAATTGCTCCAGCTTTAGATTACAGAGATTTCTCCAGCCCAATTTCTCCAAAAATACACCTATTTTTCCTTTCTGATCCGAAGTGAATTTTGTTTGGAACCTCTTCTTCATGGTAGATGGCGACCTGCCAAAATCACCATCTCCATCTTCTGACTTTGCTAATCTGGGTCCCAACAAGTAATGCTAGAACTGATTCACAGGACTGATCATTTGTGATGGGGACGGAAGAGCTGAGAATACTAGTCTGAGAAAGAAATCCGGAAGCTGTCATCCGGTTATGTGAGTGCCTGTGTATATTAGTGAATCCATGCTTGTGGAAGACAGTTGGTGCATGAGAGTCCACACTATTCCTCGACGCAATGCCCTGCTGAGCTGAGCGTAACCCCTAGCAACAACTGTTTCACTTATCCAGATTATGACGATTGTATACACCAATGGCGAGCTTGTCACTAACTCTTGAACAAATGTGATTGGCTTGGAATGTAAACCTTAGGGTTGGAACTTACAGGAGAGGCTTAGAGGAGAGGCTTCTCCATCGCATATATTCAACCTCTCCTACTGCTATGGACATCTTCAGTGCACCTTTTCCTCCTCTTGACATCTTCGGTGCGTCCTACCTTCATCCATTGCAGATTTGGCATTGCAGCGAGTGCCTCGGATTGCTACTGGAACCCTGATGCTTGTATTCCAGAGGTGCGTTGTCGTGAATTTCAGAGCATTTTCTTTGTCATGATTTGATTGACGTTAGGAATCAAAACCAGTTGTGCTAATGGAACTTATCTATGGAGGTGGATTGTGAGGAAATGTATGGTGGTTCGACTTTACTTTTGATCATTTTGGACTGATTTAGTAAAACCACATGTGCTTGAGTGGCTGGGAGGAATATCTGTGGTAGATGCCATCACTTAGCACTGTGACTTGTTATGGTCGACTAATATTCCATGCGAATTCGTTCCATCTTCCAAGGGATTCGTTTCCTAAAAATGAGATCAGTTCTTGCGACTACGGTGGAAGAAATGACGGGTATATCACAATGGTTACGGAATTCCCTTCACTGTACACTTTGAGTTGAGTTGCATTGGCATGTTGTGAATAGATTGATGTGTTGCCACTCTAAGAAACTTCAGTGAAGAAACATTGTGCAACAGTTTCAGGCTGTGTTTTGACATTTTCTACTGTTTTTTTTTTTTTTTTCAACAAAACAATCGTATCAATCGTGGATACAATGCCAGGGGATTTCTCAATATCCTCTGAATGACTGTTATTGGCAATGTGCTCTGAATGTTGCTGCTTCCAATTTAGACTAAAGCTCTCGCCCTTCAAATCTGTTTACCATAGTCGCTAGAAATCACGGCCCCTCCATACCCCTTCACTCCTTCACACATGCCAACAATCACTCCTATTCTCAATGTGCTTGGCTTGGCTTCTTCTACAGCTTCAATTTTGCAAGAGAAGGTTACCTCAAGACTTCAAATCTGGATCGAGCTCACGGGAAGTCCACATGATAGTTGTCTCTTGTAGTCGCGTTGCTTAGTTTTAATAGGTTTCAGGTGTGTCAAGGGAAATGTACTTGGCCCATTGTATCTGGCTAGTAGAGTAGACCAAGCACTAGCTTCAGTGAAAGGAGTTGAAAGCACATAGAGCCTTTTCATTGCAAAAGGCGATGACCTTGAACAGGATGCATAATTCTCATGTAACGCTAATTTTTGGTGGAGAAATATGGTCGTTCTAGAGCCCGTCAGGTGTTTTGAAGGCCAAGTGACAAGGTAAAAATCGAAAGTTTCTCACTGTGAATGGTACGGCGACATGGATTCGTGCATGTAGGCACAGCATTGGACTGCATGAGAACAATTGAAGACCCAATTTTGGACATAGGGTGCAAGATATAAGGATGCTAGTTGTTGACAAATTGGCTTTGAATTTGTTTGATGTGGACAAAATCGAGGAATTGTCTCCGTGTAATGTATCTAGTGTGGTACTCGGGTAAAGTTCAATTAAGGTTCAGTGGTTTGGACTGTTCAATTGAGTTTGAAATGCCTCTCTTGATTTTATCTTGAATTTTCTTTTTCTCAGTTCTACACATTCCGACAAATTCGATGTGAATGCTGTTATAGGGTGAAGAGACGTCAACATGTGGTTATTTGTTCCAGACACTCTGTTTCAACCAACCTTAATCTACCCCCAATTGACACATTCTTCTTCACGACTTTATAACGACATGAACTTGACTTTTACTTGGCAAGGAAAAACAACACTGACCATGTTTGTTTTCTGGCAGCCTCTTTAATAACAATCTTATTTCAAAATGACAAGTGCTTTTATTGTGAATGTTATTTTTACTACTACTAATAAATTAAAAGTACTATTATGAAACATTGGTTATAAAATCCAATCAAAAGAGATATACTATAAACTATTACAATGACACTTGCAAATGGAGATTGTACATGTCACAAAAGTAGCAAATACAAATGAATTTTAATTCAATATTTTTTCATTGAATATACATGCATTAGTCTTAAATATTTGAGCAACTAACATGGTGATGTTAGTTGGATAGCAGATAATGTTAGAAAGAAGTTGAAAGATACACTATAATACAAAGTTGTAGAAATTCGAAAAGACATTTGATGCAATGAAGGTATTATGATATTGTACTTAACAATATGTTGTGGGAGAGAAAAAGCTTTTTTATGAGCTGATTGGCTCTTATGAAGAAAACTACACCAACTTGAAAGTATATTATCATCAAATCAAGACAACGAATCTTCAGAGTGATGCCAAATTAGAAGTTGATGAAGAAAATTGCATATAATGCAAACTTACATGGCTTGCAACATTGTCAACTTGTCATTAACATAGACGGCATTCATCTATAAGGAAAATATTATAGAATATTCTTTATTGCTATAATAATTGATGTTGAAGAATAACTATTTTTTATTGCTTTCAACATAGTTAATACCAAAAATGACTATAATTGGTTATGATTCTTGCTATTACAGATACACTATATACGAGACCAAACAAGAAATTGAATGGAATAGTTTCAACAACAAAGTTAATAAGAACTTGATTAAACTAGATGAATATAAGATCAATACCATGGGATGTGAATTAGAGTTCTAAGAGATGTATTGTTGAGATTGAAGATTTCCTCAACTTTGATTCAAATATATACTACATACTAGAAAGCTTCTTAAAAAGTTCTCATATTGCTTGAAGATGAAGCAACCTTAAGAAGCTTCTTGAGAAGTTTTCAAATTGCTTGAAGATGAAGCAACCATAGAAAGCTTCTTAAATAACTTTGTTAATGTTCTTAGAATTTTTTAGAACCTTTTAGAATTTTTTAGAATATAATAAAATATTATAAAATTATTCTTAAATTTACTTGTTAGATGTCCATTATACTTACAAAAGTTTGAAGACGATAATTCTTGCATCTTGTTGTTGTGTAGTAATATGACTATATCATAAAAAATAAAAAATATGGATGTTATTAAAGAAGAGCCTAATAGAAAGATGTAGTAGAAAAACAAAGATAAAATGATAGAAAGATAGAAAAAAGTTTAGTCTTGATGCTACCTTTTACAAAAGGGATATCTATTTACTTTATAGAGGCATAAATGAGCCAAATCATAGTAAATGAGTTAAAAAATTAATATAGGCATATTTAGAAGAGAGTTAATAATAAGATAAAGCAAAAATTATCTCAAATTATCAAAAATTAATATCCAGATTCTAAGACACAATACTATGCATCTACGACAATTTTAGGATTCTATTATAAATTAAAGAATGGAATATGAGAGAAAACTTGACAAGATATTTTTTAATATTAATTTCATTTCATTTGGATTAATATTGATGTTTTGAGAGATTTTTAAAGTTAATGATGTACATAGTGGGTTTAGATTTTGAGAAATTAAAATAAATTTATAAATTTTAGGATTTTGTGAGTTTTATAATATGTATATAAATAAAAATTGGACATTTTTTTGTTATACTTGTTGTAAAGGTGTGAAAAATTTGAAGTCAATTAAGCAATTAGATTTAAGCATATAAAGGTTTTTGTGGATTATAGTCTCAAAAATTTGAGATTCAGGATCAGTGAGTGATTTTATAATTTAGCAATATCTACTAGTTGGATTGAAGCAAAATTTAGTGAAAGGAATTAAGACTTGAATATATATACAAAATCTAATTTTTGAAGCAATTAAAAAATTCAAGAAGGAGAAATTAATGTTGAAAAATCAACATTCAAGTTAAAGAAGGTAGACAACCAACAACTGAGAGGTTTTGAGAGCTTTTCTTACTATTTATATGTGCGATCTTCTTCAATTTTTTTTGATTATTGCTTACTTAGTTGTTGCAAGGTATGTAAATTTTAAGTTAAAATCAAATTTTTAATCATTAATTATTAAATTTTTTATCTGCTATAGGATTATTAAGATTTAAAGATTGATTAAGGATTGAGTAGGATTGGTTTAAGATCTAGGATTTGATAAGAATTTGATTAGGATTTAACTAAAGTTTAGTTAAGATTTAAGATTTTATTTGGATTTAATTAGAATTTAACTAGGATTTTATTAGGATTTAATTAGAATTTGATTGATATTTGATTAAGATTTGACTAGGATTTGATTAAGATCTTTTTAGAATTTGTCTAAAACTTAGGTTTTTGTTAAGATTTCATTAAAATTTGATCTAAGGTATGATTAAGATTCATTAAGATTTCAATAAGGATTAAATTAGAATTTGATTATGATTTATATAAGATTTATTTAATATTTATTTAAGATTTATATTTTTATTATATTTTTAGGATTTTTTTTTAAAGTATTTTTAATATTCTATTAGACTTAATAGGATTATTATTGCAATCTTACTTACCTTCCATAGATAGGTGCCTAATGCATTCTTAAGCAAGAACACATATAATACATCATCATCAAAAGAATTGCAAACTTTCAAAGTTCACATTTTTGTCTAATTAATAAAAAAGTCTCATTGATGCTATCAACCTTATATTTCTAATATGCAAACACACATTTTGTTTGTTCCATTTAGTTGAGAACTTATAAAGTTAATTCAAGAATGCAACGCTTGTACAACATCTCTAGGCAATCATATAACTACTAAATATTTTAGATTTCAACATTAAACTCTCAAAAGTGTTTGTTGTATTTGAAGAAGCTACAAATTACTTCATCAATATTGGGCAATAGTATTAGAAATTGTGAAAGTTTGATGGAAATTGATATGGCCATATGACTTCAAATATTGCAAAACTTTTGAATTCTTAGAATTTAAAAGTGTATGAGATGTTATTAATTTTTATGCTAAAAATAATTTATCGATAATTTATGGCAAGGTACAATAAACAATGTATCATTGCCAAAAAAATCACTAGACTATTGTCAACTAATGCATAGTAGAAGATTGAATAATGAAATATATTTGCACAAGGCTATTGCAATATTTTTTTTATCCAATAATATCTTTAAATGCATGTTAGAGCAATCATATAATGTTATGGATTTACAAAATTGCACATGCACTTGTATATAGTGGCAACTATCTAAAATTTCATGTGTGCATGTAATTAAAATTGTATTATTTATACGGCAATGTGTTGCTGATCACATTGCTTATTTTCATACTATTCAAATTTAGCAAGCAATTTACATAATTTCCATTATCTCAACACCATTCATGGAGTATTAGACAAAATCAAGCAACAATAAAATTGATGTTGCTTTGATCCTATCGTCTTTCACATAATATCTACCCAAAAAAGTGTCACATTTGTACAAAGGATATAAAAATAGTTAAAAGAGTGTTTAGATGTAGTTGATGCCAGAGTATTAGACATAATTGCTTAACTTGTAAGGAACCAATTTGGTTCCAATGTTGAGGCATTGCTTAATTACTAAACTTACAATACAAAACATATAATTTTTTTTATTGATTACAATTAAAAATTGATTGTATCTTGCCACATTCATTAATATTTTGAGGTATAAAAAGAAAATATTTATAATGTAATCATTTGATAAGTTCACTATATAAACTTTTAGTTTTATTATTTTATTTTTATATTAAATTTAAAATAGATGTTTAATTTTAAAAGTTTTAAATTATAATCTAAGATAAGTAAGATTGTAAATATATTTGGATATATTTTAGTGAAATATTCATATTATACATATGTTTCTTTGCATGTGTATGATTTTATAGACAATTGTTAAAAATTTGTGCCAAAGCATGGTTTAAGAGATGCTATAATAATAAAAGATTCAAATCCAAAATTTAAAAGAAAAAAATTGAATTGAATTTAAATTCTAAATTAGGATAATAAAATGGATTCTACTTGTATAACAAGGATTGCATAAAAAATTGGAAAAATTTAATATTTTATTGAATTTTCTAAATAACATATTATACAATATTATGAATAAAATTTCAACACCATAACCATAGATAAGACAAGTAAATTTGTATATAAAGAATTCATTAATAAATAAAAATTATCAAAAATATTATTTGTATATATTCTATATAAAAGAAAATAGCGATATATATTAGCTTTAATAACTTCAACAATTTTTATTGTAGATTCACAAGTATTAATGTCAAATTATAAAATTTTACAAAAATAAGAAAAAACTTTATATTAGCCTTTTTATCTACATGTTAATTAAGTCAAAAATTGGTTGTAAGCCATTTTAAACCATAGTCTTGCATTATAGAACATTATCATGATATCAAGTTAATTGTGACTTTAAATTAATGAGAATTGTCAATAATAAATAAAAAAATAAGTTTTATTTTTTTATTTTTATTTTTCTTTTTTATTTTAATTTTATGTTGATAAATTTCAAATAAGTATTAACAAGTATTAATTTCAAAGTTTTATCCTTAATTTTTATTAAAATAATTATATTTTTATTATTTTTTGTAAATATTATTAAAAAAACAATGATATTTTTTCTTAAATTAGTGTGAAATCATCATTTCTTATTGTTAATAAT